ACTATGGGAGTCTTTGGAAAGGAAGTATAAGACAGAAGATGCTGGAACCAAGAAGCATGTTGTTGCTAAGTTCTTGGAATACAAAATGGTTGACTCAAAATCTGTTATGAGTCAAGTCCAAGACCTTCAGGTCATCATACATGATAACAATGCATAAGGTATGGATCTTAATGAGTCATTCCAAGTTGCATCAATGGTTAAAAAGCTTCCCCCTGGTTGGATAGACTTCAAAAACTACCTTAAGCATAAGCGAAAGGATATGTCTGTGGAGGAACTGGTGGTGCGTCTTCGCATTGAAGATGACAATCGAATGGCCTTGAAGAAAGGCAGTGAAGTTGAATCTTCTAAGGTTCATATGGTGGAAGCTGGTCAAACTTCCAAGAGCAAAAGCAAGGGACCTCACAAAGGGAAAGCAAAGGGCAAAAACGTAGGCCCCAAGGCAGGAACTTTCAAGAAGAAGTTCAAGTGCTACAACTGTGGCCAACCGGGTCACAAGGCTTCGGAGTGCCCGCAACCTAAGAGGGAAAACCGTCAAGCAAACATGGTGAATGATAACATGGAGTTGGTGGCCATGATTACTGATCTCACGGCTATGGTTTCTGAAGTGAATCTTATGAATACAAATTCAAAGGAGTGGTGGATTGACACGGGGGCTACTCGTCATGTGTGTCATGACAAGAGTGTTTTCAACACCTACAAAGAAGTTGAAGATGGTGAAAAGCTCTACATTGGAAATGCAGCTACCACGGATATCAAAGGTGTTGGTGATGTCATTCTAAAAATGACTTCGGGGGGAAGAAGTGAAGCTTAGGGATGTTTTTTATGTTCCTGAACTTCGTAAGAATCTAGTGTCGGGTGGTTTGTTGAACCAATTTGGTTTTAAGCTAGTGTTTGAGTCGGACAAGTTTGTTATGTCCAAAAATGGTATGTTTGTGGGAAAAGGATATGCCTTGAATGGCATGTTCAAATTGAATGTAATGGTGACAAACAAAATGAATAATACAAGTTCTAGTTCTGCTTATTTGCTTGAGTGTTCAAATGTTTGGCATGGTCGCTTAGGACATGTAAATTACAATTCTATTAAGCGATTAATTAAACTAGAATACATACCAAAACTTAATATTGACTCAAATCACAAATGCCCTACATGCGTTGAAGCCAAACAAACTAGATTATCTTTCCAAACAATCAAAAGAAACACCGAACCTCTTGATTTAATTCACACTGATGTGTGTGATTTAAAGTCAATTCCTACTCAAGGTGGGAACAAATACTTCATTACATTCATCGATGATAGCACGAAATATTGCTACATATATTTACTTAAGAGTAAAGATGAAGCAATAGACAAGTTTGTCTTGTATAAAAATGAAGTTGAGAATCAACTCAACAAGAGAATTAAAGTGATTAGAAGTGATAGGGGTGGAGAATATGTTTCTCCTTATGCTGAATTTTGTGCGAAAAATGGAATTCGTCATGAATTCACATCACCCTATTCACCTCAATCCAATGGAATTGCTGAAAGAAAGAACCGTACCTTGAAAGAAATGGTCAATGCCATGATAATTAGTTCGGGTGTAAACCAGTCAATGTGGGGGGAAGCTATTTTGTCGGCTAACTATCTTCTAAATAAGATACCTCGCAAAGAAAAGAATGAAACACCGTATGAACTTTGGATGGGAAGAAATCCATCATATAAGTACTTACGAGTGTGAAGGGTGCCTAGCTAAAGTTGTAGTACCACCGCCTAAGGTACAAAAGTTAGGGCCTAAAACAGTGGATTGTGTATTCATTGGATATGCACAAAGTAGTAGTGCTTATTGGTTCCTTGTGTATGATTCTAAGAATCCTGAAATACACAAGAATACCATAATGGAATCAAGGAATGCTTCATTCTTTGAAGATGTGTTTCCTTGTTTAAACAAGGAAGTTGAAAGCCCATCTTTACCAAACAACGAAGCTGTTCGAGAGGAAGAACAACCTCAATCCGAGGAAGAAGAGATAGAACTCAAAAAGAAGTAAGAGGGCTAGAGTTGAAAAATCATTTGATGATGATTTTTACACCTATGTGGTGGAAAGTGAACCTAAAACCTACCAAGAGGCGGTTACTTCTTCTGAGGGACCTCAATGGAAAGAAGCCATCAAAAATGAGATAGAATCTATCTTACAAAATCATACGTAGGAACTAGTGGATCTACCTCCAGGTAGCAAGCCACTGGGTTACCGTTGGATTTTTAAGAGAAAGATGAAACCTGATGGCAGTATTGATAAATACAAGGCACGACTAGTAATCAAAGGTTATAGACAAAAAGAAGGTCTAGATTACTTTGATACGTATTCGTCGGTAACACGGATAACATCCATTAGATTAGTTCTTGCCATTGCAGCTATCAGAAACTTGCAAGTTCATCAAATGGATGTGAAAATGGCTTTCCTAAATGGGGATTTGGAAGAAGAAATTTATATGGAGCAACCTGAGGGCTTCATTGCCTCGGGACAAGAGAACAAGGTTTGTAAACTTGTTAAGTCTTTATATGGATTAAAACAAGCTCCTAAACAATGGCATCAAAAGTTTGATCAAGTCATGATGGAAAGTGGCTTTAGAATCAATGAGTGTGATAAGTGTATCTATGTGAAAAACACCACTCATGGTTATGTCATCTTGTGTCTGTATTTTGATGATATGCTTATCATTGGTAGTGATGACAAGATAACAAGATCCACGAAGGATATGTTGAAATCCAGGTTTGACATGAAAGATATGGGTTTAGCGGATGTGATTCTTGGAGTCAAGATCACAAGAACCAGAAGTGGTTTGATTTTAAGTCAAACACACTATGTGGATAAGATTCTTGAAAAATTTGCTAAGGGAGACGCTAGCAAAGCTAGAAATCCAATTGACACTAGTCAACATCTACGTAAAAATAGAGGTGATAGTGTTAATCAAGTGGAATATTCAAGAATTATTGGCAGTCTGATGTATCTAATGAGTTGTACCAGACCTGACTTAGCATATGCTGTGAGCAGACTAAGTAGATACACTAGTAAACCCAGTTCTGAACACTGGAAGAGTATTACTAGGTTGTTAAGGTATGTGAGATACACGCGAGAATATGGACTGCATTATGGCAGACATCCAGCAGTTATCGAAGGATACACAGATGCAAATTGGATATCTGACATAAAAGATTCCAGATCTACAAGTGGATATGTGTTTACACTTGGAGGTGCTGTTGTAGCATGGAAATCATCCAAGCAAACAGTTATATCTAGATCCACGATGGAATCTGAATTTATCGCCTTAGATATTTGTGCTGAAGAGGCGGAGTGGCTACGTCAATTTGTAGAGGACATTCTCAAATGGCCTAAGCCGGTATTGGCCATATGTATACATTGTGATAACCAATCGGCAATTGCTAGAGCTCAAAGTACAATGTATAATGGGAAATCAAGGCACATTAGACGTAGACATAAAACACTACGACAACTAATCTCTACAGGGGTTATCACGGTTGACTGGGTGAAGTCAAAGGATAACATTGCGGATCCACTTACAAAAGGCTTGAGTAGAGATGTAGTTTATAAGTCGTCAAGAGGAATGGGACTAAAGCCCATGAATGAATAAATTCATACGAAGGAAACCTTACCCAGAAGGCTGGAGATCCCAAGATCTGGGTTCAAAAGGATAACCTAACTATATGAGTGAGGCATGTCACTGTGGGGGAGTTAACATTACTTCCTAGTCCATTCCTATATGTAGTGACAAAATTAGGCTAAACATATGTTTTTAATGATTCTTGGAATCACCTATGTGAGAGAGAAGTGGGGTCGCTTCGAAGGGAATTATAGGGGCACAATTCCTAAAGCTCTTGCAGAACCAGACTAGTGTTCATGACCAAAACGAACACGTCTATGAGGATCTGACCTTGTCAGGGAGAATCCTGTGAGATTTACATTGTCATCTACATAAATGGCAACTTAGTTCAAAGACATCGAGATCTATTAACTGCTAGGAGATTAAGTGTAACTTCTTAAGGGAGGGTTCAAAGGGTAATACCTACCTATCCTATGCAGGATTCAGCTGTTGAAAATTTCGTTTGGAAATTGGATGGGCAGAGATCGATCTCCATTCATGTGGGGGATTGTTGGAAAATTTAGTATAAATATTTATATTTTTACTAACTTTGTACATATATAAATATATACATATGTTGTATATATAACTAACTCTAAGTGGGTTTGTGTTCTCCTCCACGAGGACTTCGAAACGATATATTATATGTCCAAAATAGAGTATATGTGAATGAGATATCTATATTAAAAGACGGGTATTTGAGAATAAGTTTAGAAAAAAGAGAGGAATGTGGGAATGATTCCCATATTGGTAGAAAGACCAAACCAAATAAGGTTTATAAGCTTGAATGCATGAAAGGCTTACAAGCTTGTGTCTATGGTTTTATTATAATTCCTACCCGCGCGCAGGGGGGTGCAAATTTTGGATTTTGTAGACCAAAAACACTGAACTCGTGCATGGGCGCGACCTGCGGACACGAATGCAGCTCCGAAAAGTCGGGCGCGCGCTACCCTCGTTTTTGCTAAACTTGACAGTTTTGGTCCCTATTTTTGAATTCTGTAACGGATGCATTAATTGCGTAATTAATGACATTTATTGGCATTAAACGCTCAATCGATTAGTGATTTGTTTCCATTACACGATTCAACTATAAAAGAAGACCTTGTCATCTCATTCAAACACACGAATGAAAATACTCTTCTTCTTCCTCCTTCTCTGTACTCCTGCTTCCGACGATTCTTTCAGGCAAGTGGTAATATCCGGCAGTACACAACACTGTTAAGGTTGTTGTACCCTGGGAACAGACGGCGAATCTGTTTAAGTGAATCGAGTCCAACTCGAGCCTCAGCCACATCGTTTGCTGCTAATCTTTTCTTTACAGGAAGCTTTAGTTAAGTAGAAAACGAAGACATTACACTAACAAGTACTACACTCTTGCCTTGCTAAGAAATTCATCAAGATCCTCTGTTGTTTTCTTAACTTCTCCACTCCTGCTATTTTGGATCTCTTTTGCCATCTCTTTAACTGTATCCTGAAGAAACTTTACGTATTCTATTCTTGCATTTATCTTTCTTTTCAATGCTTCCTACAACAAATATCAAATATCACACTTGTCTAAATAACGCGATAAAAATCCCAAAGGTAGATCCTCCATAAAAAAGAAAAACTTTGAAAGATACCTGTTCTTTCATCTTGTCCTGAAAAGTAGAAGCTAACATATTGGGGAATACTTTCAAGAATACTGGAAGCAAAAACTCCATGAAAGGTACAATGATAAAAACTCTGGAGATGCTTCTTTTTTCTCTTTTTCTTATTATTATCATCTGTTGCACTTATGGTAGTAATAGTAGTAATAGTATAATGTATAGATTGCCATATCCTCATATGTCCTACTTTTTCATTCCATGCAGCCTCTTGCTTCTTTTTTCTGTCCAACACCAAGGCTTTAAGAGGATCATAAACCACCCCTGAGTACTTGGTGGAGAATGAACTAACAGATACATGATAGAGGTAATTGGGAAGAAGAAGACGTCTCTACCTTAAAATTGCTCTAGAGGTCATTATCATCACATACCAAAACTCCCTGTAACAACCACATCAAATTTCATTAATCAAAAAGACAAAACAACCGAATATTTTGTCCAACACATGAACTACAAACTACAAAACTTGTTAGTGTATTGTATATTGAAAAAAATGATACCGAATCAGAATCAAATTGTACCTAAGTGTTAAGCAGCGAGCCACTGACCGGAGAAACCACCTGAAGGGGCTACCAACGCCGTGAGATGATAGAATCGACAGATGATGTGAGTGCTGAAAAATCGTTCTGTAGTCTCCCGAGTTTAGGGACAATCTCGCAAAGGGTATTTCGGTCTTTATGAGTTTTGTCCCCTCTAGGAGGGGAGGTACACGGGTTCTTTTCTTTCCTCCCATGTATGATTATTTCCAAGTTGCTTAATGAATGATGTTAATAAAATACACAGATTAATCGCAAAATATCGACCCACAATGTCGGTTTTATCAGTTGTGATTCCTCGGCTAAAAAGTAATCAGTTGAAGTGGAGTTTCAGTGGCGCATTTGAAGCAAGGCAATCACTTATTGTCAGAGGTCTTTTCCCCATGCTTGCTGATCCCCGACATCCCGTAAGTTTGTTTATTTTTATTTTATTATTTATTTTTACATAAAATTGAATTATTAGTACTAAAGTTGTAAATGATTATTCTTCAATCGTTCTTAGTAGCTTTTATCTATTTTTTCCTTTTTTTTTCAAGATATGGAGTACAAACTAGAAGCTATCCTCGAGAATCAGGTAAATACACATCTAACATATGATATAACAAAGCCTAAACTAAAAACAGACACAAAATAAGAAAATGTCTCCTACTTGTATTTCATTTTGTCTCACCAAAATCAATCACAAACAGTAAATGGCTTGATCAATTTAGGGAGGAATCTTTTTTATCTCAGTTCTAAGTTCTTGTTCAATCCCATACTTGTACAATTTCCACAAAACCACACATTATATTAGCATTCATTTAACATTTAACATTTAACATTTAAATTAAAAATATGAAAGAAAATACATACAAGTTAAATCGATCTTCATAAGTTATCAGATTCACAGCTAACCCCAGATGTCCAAACTTTCCCGAACGTCCCACCTACAAATAAACAATATAATAATTTTTCATTTTCAAAAATAAATAAATAAATTTAGTTTACCTCGTGCAAATACGTCTCGGCGTTCCTTGGAAAGTCAAAATTGATGACAACATTCACGTCTTGAATATCTATACCCCTTGTAAACAAATCTGATAACAATTTCAAGATTAGGGCAGAAATTATGAGGATATGGCAGAAATTGAACTCCGACATGGGAATGAGGGAGAAAACGAACTCCCATATGGGTTTCATTTTGAAAAACAGGTTCGTTGGAATGTTGGAGAAATCAAGCCAGGTTTTAGGGAGAAGTTTTTGAGCCGATAACCTAAATAGTGAAGAGTGAAGTTGGAATTAGGAGAAGTCGTACCAGGTTTTAGGGGAGAAATCAAACTAGTTTCTTCCTTATTTTGGGAGGACGGACCTGAAGAGATCGAGAAAAAAAATCCCTAGTTGGATGATTTTATGACGAGTAGGATGGACGCGGGGAGGTGATCCTATGCTCACCGGAGAAGAAGTAAGCCTGAAGTGAGATCGTTGATTGTTGCAGAGGCCTAGGAGAACCGATGGAGAATCGGAGAGCATTTTGAATTTTCTTGAAAAAGCCCTAGGTAGAACTTGAAAAAGCCCTAGGAATGAGGGAACGAAGGGAGATACAGAGGAGAGATTGAAGAAGCGGTCACTTCAAAATTTTAGAATTTTAGAAGATTTCATTTCTGCCCTTTAAAAACGCGCGTTTGATAAAAAAAATATAAAGCGACGTTTCTAGAGGACACGCATTTAAAACAAGTGCCCTCCGTGTTTTTTTTTGTTGGACATTAATTTTAAGGCACGCAAAAATGCGTGTCCTCTATCCTTCAAATTTTGGAAGGCTGACATTATTTTTAAGGACACACAAAAATGTGTATCGTAAATCAGCGAGTGTCATTGTTTGCGCGTCATTAAAAGGGTATTTTTCTTGTAGTGATACTACCATCCAGACGGCCAAACATTGTATCAAGGATTGGCCACATTGCAAAACGAATGTGATTACCATGAATTTCTTGAGTATATTCGTGAGAAAAAGAAAGTAACTGTGTATGTTGACCATATGTATAAACCCATGTTTCACTGGATTAAAATGGAAGAGCCAGAAGTTGAAGATGATACCAACTCCAATGAAGATCAAGATGATGATTCACTGTTAGTAGATAAAGAGGGTTGGGATCATGAGGTAGATGATGAGAATGTTTTTATGAAAAGGGAAAGAGCAAGTATTCAGCACAAAGACAGGTTCTTGAACAAACTCTGCCCAGATGTTGAAGAGGAAGAAGTTCTTAATGTTGAGCAACTACCTCCTATATACCATGTGCACAATTTTGAGCAGCGATGGGATCAAATGGCTCCAGTGCTAGGTATTAAATTCACCAATCCTAGTGAACTCAAAGATTATCTTACCAACTATGTTGTTAACCATGGTTATGTTTTATGGTATGAAAAAAAATGATAAAGACATATTTCTAGTGAAGTGTTGCAAAGATAAAGAACCTACATGTCCTTTTAGGTTGTGGGCTTCTTGGATGCAATACGAAAGGACTTTTCAGATTAAGTCACTTAAATCAACTCATAACTGTGGTAGAGCTTTTAAAATAGGCTTAGTGACTTACAAGTGGATAGGGAAAAAAATATTTCAATGTACTTCTAGAAAACCCCAAGCTTAGTATGAGGAAGATGAAAGCTCAAATTTCAAACACATACAACATCATAGTTATCATTGGGCAATGTAGAAATGAAAAAAAAGTTTTCATTGTCTGAGATAGAAGGCACTCTGAAAGAGCACTATAGTGGGTTGTGGGAGTATGACATTGAAATCAAAGAGCTAATCAAGGAACAACTGTAAGTACAGATGAAGCTTTGAGAGGAATAGACAAGAACTTCGAAATCAAGGGTGACGGGGTTCGTTATTTCATGGACCGGATCTGGACACCAAGGTTCGGTGGTTACAGAGAGGTGGTCATGAATGAAGCCCACAAAACTCGATATTCCGTTCACCCAGGTTTAGATAAGATGTATCTGGATCTCAAGAAGCTATATTGGTGGCCAAACATGAAAGCAGAAATTGCTACCTTCGTGGGCAAGTGCCTGACTTGCGCCAAGGTGAATGTCGAATATCAAAAGCCCTCGGGTCTAATTCAACAGCCAGAAATACCTAAGTGGAAGTGGGAACGAATCACAATGGTACTTCATTACCAAACAACCCAAGACCCCGAGTGGCCATGACACTATCAGGGTAATCGTCGACAGATTGACTAAGTCTGCCCACTTCCTGCCAATCAAAGAAACATTCAAGATGGAGAGACTAACCCAAATCTACATCCAAGAGATAGTTCGATTGCATGGTGTGCCTGTGTCCATTATCTCTGATCGAGATAGCAGATTCACCTCGAGATTTTGGCAGTCATTGCAGAAGGCTCTTGGAACTAAGCTGGATATGAGCACAACTTACCATCCACAGACCGACGGGCAAAGTGAGAGAACCATTTAAACTCTAGAAGACATGCTGAGAGCATGCGTTATCGACTTTGGTAAGTCGTGGGATACCTATTTTCCATTGGTCGAGTTCTCTTACAACAACAGCTATCACACTAGCATCAGGGCTGCTCCATTCGAAGCTCTTTATGGCCATAAGTGCAGATCCCCTCTGTGTTGGGCTGAGGTGGGTGACACGCAGCTAGCTAAAGGTCAAGTCCCTGATAGCACTCTCACTGGCCTAGAAATCATCCAAGAAACCACAGAAAAGATCGTACAAATCCAAGAACGACTAAAGGCTTCAAGAGATCGACAAAAGAGCTATGCCGGCAAAAGACGAAAACCTTTGGAGTTCCAGGTTGGTGACCATGTCCTGTTAAAGGTCTCACCCTGGAAGGGCATGATACGCTTCGGAAAGCGCGGAAAGCTAAATCCGAGATACATTGGACCATTCGAGATCCTCGCTAGGATCGGTCCCGTAGCATACAAACTCCGTTTACCTCAAGAGCTTAACAATGTACATCCCGTCTTCCACGTCTCGAACCTCAAAAAGTGTTTATCCAACGAGACTCTTGTAATTCCACTCAATGAAATCGAGGTCAATGAGAGTCTTAACTTCGTGGAAGAGCCAGTCGAAATTATGGATAGGGAAGTCAAGCGAACGAAGCAAAATCGCATCCCGATAGTGAAGGTTCGCTGGAATGCCAAGCGGGGACCTAAATTCACTTGGGAGCGCGAAGACCAGATGAAACAGAAATATCAGCATCTTTTTCCCTAGTCTGTAATTGTATTCGTTTTAGAATTTCGGGACGAAATTCCCTCTACCGGGGGGATGATGTGACAACCCGAACCTTTTCCGTTAACGTTAGCCCGATTCCGTTAAATAAATTTTGAATTTTATTTTGTTCTGTCAAATTCTTACAGCTTCGAAAATCATTAATTTATATAATTAAATTTTATATAAGAGTCGGAACCAAAATCGCACGAAAACCCAAGTTTTTCTTAAAAAATAAGCAAAATCCGGTCTGATTGGTGTTCACGGCCGTGAACCCGATCACGGACGTATACCGATCACGGATGGTGGCCCCCACCACCGACCATGAAGCCAACCTATATATTCGTGTTCCTACCCTCTTTTTATACTTTTCTGGCCGAAAACACTCTCTCTCTCTCTCTAAAAACCACCACCCGAAAACCCAAGTTTTCTCTTCATCTATCACTCAATCCACCCTAGAACTCATTTTGAAGCATCAAGCATCCGTCTTTTCATCAAATCAAGCATTGTTGTTCTTGAGTTCACGGCCGTAAACCCTTCAAATCTTCAAATCTTCAAGGGCGGAAATCAGTTCACAGTCGTGAACCCTTCAAACCTTCGTATTTTCACCAAGAACACCAAGATCAGGCCGTGAACCATTCAAAGACCGTAAACCCTTCAAAGGAAATAAATTGTTCATGGCCGAGAACAGTTCACGGTCGAGAACAGTTCACAGTCATAATCCCTTCACGGCCGTAAACCACTCTACATCGTGAATCTTGGCTGCAAACCCACTTTTCCGCTTCGATCGAGTCTCGGTAACATTCCTAAACCGCAAAAAGTGTTTTTCTAACACTTTAACTAATGGATTTGCTAATTTAAATACGAATATCTGTTTATTTTTTATTAGGATTCTGTTAACTTCGCGTACAACAACTCGAGGGTCCTCATTTCCAGTCTCGTCGTCCGACACTTACACGCATCCAACAGTGAGTTCATACCCCTACATTTCACTGTTCTTAACGTTTTCAGGAGGAGAAATACAAGCAAAATATAAAGAAATTTTTATGATTTTATATAAAGGATTTAAACAGGATTTAAAACCTATGCATTGATTTCATCAAAAGATCATTACATTTTATAAAACACTTACATATTTAATCCCTTTTGTATAATGCTGAGCATAGGGGAAGCTTTCCACATTCAATCATAATTGTAAAAGTTTTCAGAATAATACACGAGTTGAATACATTAACAACCATATAAACTATAATAGGTATAGTTTATGGAACAATTACCTCATCAATGTACGAAACATAGATTCAATGCGAACAAACATATAAACTATATAGGGTATAGTTTATGGGTTATATTAACAGTCATTTAAATTCTAATGATTCATTTTATTCTATGCTTCATCATTAGTATAGCATTTTATGAGTGAGCATCTTCGCGTACTTACCTAAGTACTAACAAAAGCCTTGAGATGATAACCAGAGTCTCCTGGAGGGAGATCGTGAGTTTGTGTATAGATCTATACGAGACTGACAATCCCTCACCGCAACTGTTAGATACAGTTAGGCCGGTAGGCCTGGGTGACAAAGTCATTTCGATTCCGACGCTTGAAGAACGTCATTCAGGCAATCCAATGGTCAAGTATGGTTATAACAACTCATAAATTTGGTACTAAACATTACGATTAATATATGAATGGTAATAACTTCAATTAGTTTTATTTTAAATAATGGAACTACTATACATACTTGAGGATTTTAGGGTTTTTATACAAGAACAAACTATACATTACTGGTGATAGCCAGGGATTTCATACACATTTATAGAATACAGTAGCGAACATACATTTCAGTCTTAGGATTTAAGATTACTTTTCAAAACTAAAGAGAATATTGGATTTTCTTGAGATCATGTAAACATTTTATAGATTTACAGAAGGGTTTTCATTTCAAAAACATATTTATGAACTCACTAGCTTAATGCTGATACTCTTTCAAAAACCGCTTGTATTCTCAGGAAATCAGTAGACAGGTACTACCGCAGCTTTTGAGAAGACGGAGCGTATAGAGTCACATCTTTTACATTTTACTATACTTTTGATGTATACAAACTATGTATCAAACAGATGTAAATATTTTACTTATTCAATGTAATGGTTGTGTTTACTTTGATTACTATGATGCAATTATTATGATACTATACATGACGTCCTCCACCCCCGAACGTTTCCGCCATTCTGGTTTGGGGGTGTGACAAGCTGCTATGCAAGAGATCAAGGAATTGGACAGTAGTGCATTTGGTTATCTCATGGTGAGAGACCCTAAAAGTTATTGCAGGGCTTTTCAAATAGAAGGGGTCTTTTATGATGCTGTTGAAAATGGAATTTCAGTTAATTTTGATGTTGAAATAGTTGAAGCTAGACATAAACCAATAATAGCAATGTTGGAGGATATAAGGGTTTACGTGATTCAAAGGTTATACCACCAGATAAGTAAGGGTGAGTCTTGGGATTTAACTATATGCCCATCCATTAGGAAGAAAATAAGCGATTTGTGTAACGCCCAATTTGTCTGGTAAACTCTTAAGCAAAACTATCTCATTTATTGGCTTGTCTTGGACCCGAGTATGTTGGGCGTACTCCAATGCATGCTCGAGGCGGGGTATTCCCCTGGTACGTTGGGCATACCCTTGCGTACGCAGGACGTACGTGAGTCAGGGGCAAACCCTAATTTTTAGGGTTTGCACCCTATTTAAGCACATTAATTCCCCCAAGTCCTTCACATTATCAGCCTCCATTTCCTTTTTGAGCTAACCTCGAAATCCTAATCCATTTTCAAAGAGATTGACCTTGTATGTGTGTGTGGTGTATCTTGAAGAAGAAGAAGAAGAAGAAGACTAGTGGAGAAGCATTGGACAAGAGGGAGCTTGTAGATCTAGAGGTTATTCATCCTTTCTAGCTTATTGAAGGTATAAAGTTCCTACCTTGTTGATTCATCTCTTAGTTCTAGATAGTTAGGGTGTTTGGGTTATTTTGGTCCCTTAAGGTGTTTCTTGAGAGTATAAGCTACTCCATAGGGTTATGATGATAGATCGTATTGTTTCTGATGTCCTTTATGTATAAAAATGGTGTCTTGATGGTTTAAGCTCAATTATGCAAGGGTTGAGAGTTGTTTCATGAAGATACTATGTTAAAATCCAAGATTTAACCTTTTTAAGCCATGCAAAAGCATAAAGTTTGCAACTTTATGGCTTAATACATTTTAATAAGCTTAGATCTAAAGTTAGACGTTAGGTCTTAACTGATTAACACCTTAAAAAGAGAATTCGGCCAGATGGGGCGTACGCAAACGTATGTTGAGCATACACATCTGGAGTCCCAACCCTGCGAAGCATTCGAGTATGTTGGGCGTACTGATGGTACGCTTAGCGTACTTAACAGAGATGTTTTTGGGCTTTTAGTTTCGAGCCACTTTTGGGCTTAGGCATTTGGGCCCTTGTTGGGCCGCAAGCCTTGCTGTGTTGGGCCTTTATTGATTTGGGCCCATATTGGGCTTGGAATGTCTTTTGGAATTTGGGCTAGATTGGAGTTGGGCCTTGGTATGTTAGGCCCAATAAGGGAAGGGTTAAACAACCTTTTTCCCTGGAAGCTAGGGTTTGGGGTTTAGACTCTCGGGTTAGGTTAATTACCTAATTGCTAATTAGGGTTCTATTATTTGTGATTTAGTGAGTGGACTTCACGGTTTGGAAGCCCGAGTGTGATTTGATATCTTCAGGCTAAGGTGAGTTTCCTTCTCTTTACTCGTGGGTCGAAGGCACCACTGTCGGCCCACTGGACTATGTTAGTAGGATGATAATTGTCTTCGTGACAATTTCCTGTATTTCCTGTATATGCTTGTTGTCTATGTGACTCTTACTGTTATGATTATGTGTTAGCTGTAGGGGTGAAATAGACCCGATATCGATTGAAAGAGACCAAAGGGGTTGTAATAGACCTAGTACCGGTTAAAAGAGACCGAATGGGTTGAAATAGACTCAGTTATGCTTTAACTTTTATGTATGTATGGTATGTGGTATTTTAGGGGAGCTCACTAAGCTTTGTGTTTCAGGTACTTCCATCTCGAAAGGGAAGGCCCCGTCTGGATCGCACCGCACCCGCCCGTGTTTTTCCGCATTATATGATTTTGGGATTTCTACTTTGATATTATTTTCATTATGATACACTTTTGGTTGTTTTAACATGATTACTGGATGTTTGAAATGAAAATTTTTATCTGGAAATTTTGGGATGTTACAATTTGAAGGTGAAACAAATGTAACAATGTGTGAATTTCCTTGTTATTTAGCATAAATATACATGTGTTCTTACCTGTTTAATGTTTGTATACAGATTCTGGACAGTGTACCTTAGTGGATATCAACAATTTGAGGTGGTATTATGTAATGAAAGGTATGCAATTGACCTAATTAGAATGAGTTGTTGATATAGGGGATGACAGTTAACTATCATACCCTGTGTACATGGAGTGGCTACAATCTCATCCATGAACTTAAACTCATAGGACTATGTAGCTAGTTGTTACAGTAAGGCAACTTATCTCACCTGTTATACATACAATATTCATCCTTTGAATGATAGCTCATTGTGGCTACGAAGTGAGTACACCATGCCTTTACCCCAAAAGAGTAGAAGGCTACCTGGTAGGCCATCTATTAAGAGGGAAAAAAAGTGCTGCAGAAAGGGAGATATCAAGCAGGCATGTAGTATCAAGAGTAAAGCAAGTGCAAAGGTGTTCAATCTGCTATGTTAGTGGGCACAAAAAAATGGGTGCCCATCAAAAATAATTCCAACAACAGGTGATCCAATTCTTGGATCTTTAACTCCAGTTCCAATTCCAACTCCAAGATCCACTTCTGCAACTCCAGCTCCAATTCCAACTCCAAGATCTACTTCTTTAATTCCAACTCCAATTCCAACTCCAAGATCCACTTCTTCAACTCCAGCTCCAATTCTAACTCCAAGATCCACTTCTGCAACTCCAATATCCACTTCTACAACTCCAAGATCCACTTATGCAGGTCTAGTTCGAAGTGAAGTTCAAGTGAGGAAGAGGAGAGCTTCAGAAAGAATCATCAAACAGTGTCTAAGGAAAAGAGTAATGTATGTGGATGGTAGTGGTTGTAGTTCAGGAAACATGTAGATTTAGAATGATTGTAGGTTTGTTCCCATTCAATATTTTGTTTTCTTATGTATGCATGTGATGTTGTAAGTGTTAGGTAAGCACCTTTTAAGGATAGTGGTCGAATCTTTTGATATTATATGGGATTTTGTACTAGACTAAGGGACAAAAACTATCCAACTTTTGATGCTCTTTTGATATTGAATGGGAACACCTTTTAAGGGTGTTTGTTTGTTGAGAATATTACCCTTTAATATATTTTGTGCTTGAATCTTTTAATTGTTTCTTAGTTGTTGAAAATATTTGCTGCTTGGTTGTTGAGAATCCTACACTTTACAGATGTACTTTGACTTCAATCTGGTTGTTGAGAATACTTACTTCATTTGCATTACACTAACATATTTCATTACCAATATTAGCATTATATATTTCAATACACCATATTAGCATTACAATGACATATTTCATTAACAAAAGCTTCATTTGCATTCATACATACAATTTCATTACATTATGGGTACAACCCTTACATTATCCTAATACCCTTAATTCAAAAGCTTACATCTAACAAATCAAAAGAGTACTACTACATCACAATTCCATTAAAAAGAACTTAACAAATTACAAGACAAATAAGATGTCACAACTAGGAATTCTGATGCTTTGTAAACACTTAACAAAGAATGACATTGTAGCTAGAACTTGAAAACATGTATGGTGTTTATTCAATGACCACAAAATTCCATCAAATACCCTATACAAACATTCAAATAGTCAACAAAAAAATTTGGAAACCCTAAAAATCCCAGTTTAAGTCCATTTTGGACTAGGATTTTCTTATGGGACCCAATGGACCAATATGCTTCCAATTTTGACTATTTTGGGCTTAGAACTCTTAAATAGGCTCTAATTGGACCCACCTTCATTTATTTTAACATTATGGGCCATAATGGGCCTAGAATGAAATAAAATACCCTTATTGGGCCATAACAAATCTAATTAGCCCTAAAGGGCCATAAAACTCATTCTTTTATACAAATTGGGCCGTAAAACCTCTTAAGGGCCCATTGGGCCGAAAACCATTAACTTGGGCTTCACATTAAGAGACTTAAGCACAAAAGGCCCAAATCCTCTTCTCTCTTCTCTCTTTCTCGGCCCAAGAGGAAAACAAAAAAAAATAGAAATTAATGAAATAAGGAGGGTTAGCCACCTCCTTATTACATTATGGACTTCCATGCACCATCACAAATCTCCATGCAATTCATCCTTTCACCTCTCTCTCTTCTCCTTCTCTCCTTCTTATCTCTCGGCCAAAGGAAAAACACACACATACAATTCACTTAAGCTTCTCTCAAGAACTCACAACAACTTCTTCACTTCTCCTTCAAAATTTTCGAGAGTTAGGGCTTTTCAAGAAGGTTATTCCACAATAATCATCAGCATTGGTAAGTTATTGTTTAGATCCATAACCCAGTCTCTTTATTTCATGAAAACTTCTTCCTAACTCACACAATTTTCGTGATCTACTCCTTAGAAGCTTCTTAAGTTTGAAATCAACCCAAGAAAGCTTGCTAGGGCCGAAAAATAGCATCAAACTCTTCCCTTTCTTCTTCAAATCGAAAACAACAAGCAAAGGTGAGTTCATACCCCTCTATTTTCGGTTTTCATAAGTTTTATGGGGGAGAATACAAGTAAAATGTGTAGATCTATGTGTATGTGTATGTTATGTGTGATTTCATGTATGTTATGTGTGTTTTCATGTGTTTATGTGGTAAATATGTAACAAAAAAAGGAAAGAAATCTCGAGATCTATGGCACAAGAAGGAAAATAAACATGATCTAAGATATATTACACTAAATAAGTCAAGGAAAATTACCCTCTAGGGTTATAATAAACATATTGCAACATAAAACTCATTTTTGGGCTATAATTGTCAAATAAACAAAAGTTGGGTTGAAAGTTGTCATTTACGGTTTTCTTAAGGACCAAAAGAGTCAAAACAGTAAAAATAAATGTTTTTTTATGAATATGATACTCTTTAAAGGACTAGAAATGTAATTTGTAGCTTAATGGGCCAATTTTTGGGCTTTTCGGCCTATAGGCCCAAAAATTACGAAAATATGATTTTCAAGGGACTGAAATGGTACAACTCTCAAAACAGGGGGTAAAAGGGGTAAACAAAACTATGTCAGGGGTTAAAATGATTTTTTTCCAAAAAGGATAAAAAATGTAAAGTTTTTGGAATTTGGGCCAAAATTGTAAAAGTTGCGAAAAACTTGGACTTTAACCGAAAAACTCCCTACTGAAGGGGCTGAAACTGCCAAAGAGTAAATTTTGAGCTAAAAACATTACTTAAACAAGTCTATGGGTCAAAAATGTCAAGAAAATGGTTTAAGGGCCTAAAATGTCTTTTTTTAAATAAGGGACTAAAATTGTCATTTTTATTAGAAAAAGGGCTGAATGGGTCAAACCAATATTTTGAGTCAATTATTTTATTATTAAGATATTTGGGTCGAAAATACCAAATTACAACTTATGAAAATAGAATGCAGAATATACATATATTTTCAAATATCGTTATAAACAATCGACAAGTTTCGTGCCGTTGCGAATTTAACAATTGTTCAATCAAACTTCCGACAATTATACTATACCTAAAACAAGTAAATATTCAAATAGTTGGGCTTGAAAGATCCTAATCATTGCTTATTGGGCCTTCGTGGCCCATTGACATGACTTTTGGGCCTAACAATAATAACACATGTCTATTGGGCCTCCTGTGACCCAATTACATGTTTAAGGGACCCTCAATGGCTTCTATGTGCTATTGGGCCTCAGTGGCCCATTATCATTGCTAGTAAGGTCCAATTAAATCAAATGTGAAATGGGCCAACGCGTCCTTCGTATAACCAACAGCCTTAAATAACACACGCAATTAGCAGGACTTTGTAATCCTCTTCTCCTCGTTTGTTAGGCTTACCTTCAATTCAAGTAAACAAATACAGGTTGTTAATCAATGGTAATCAATTTCGTTTGGATTAAGTGAGAAATAACGGGCGACACCTCTAAGTGTCGTTCGTAGTCTGTAGTTATAATCAAAGTCTCCTGGAGGGAGAGCGAGAGTTTGTATATAGATCTATACGGGGGTGACTCCCCCACACCTCAGCTGTTCGCTACAGTTAGACTCGGCCAGTCTAGGGTGACAAAATATTAAGATCAATTCCGGCGTTCGCTAGAATGCCAAGACAGACGAACTAGTCATTATCATGCATGGTTATAACGACTCACATAAATAAATGAATCCATTACTATCCGAGTAATCAAGGAAAATCAATTCGTTGTGACGGTATAACAATTTGAAACAATTATATTATATTATCGGAAAACATCGGGTTTTTCGAGGAAATCAACACCATTCACTTGTACTTTCAATAACTATAATGCAAAACTTCTCATTTATACACGTTTTGAAATCATTCATGCACAAACTTATGGATCTTCACACTTTGGTATAAACAATTGTCTTATCAGAAAATATCGGATTTTCTGGGTTTTATAAACTACACAAAACATTTTTATAACAACCCTGCTTATGAACTCACCAACATTCCATATGTTGACGTTTTCAAAATAACTTGTATTCTCAGGTAACAGGTAAGCTGAAGAGTAATACCAAGCATGTTAGGATGTTATGTTTTGAAAACTCTCAAACAATTTATGCTATGGATATGTAATATTTAGACAATGTACTTGATGTGAACAATGTCAGTTGTAATGTATTAATGCATGGTGAAGTTTATGTTGTGTTTCATGTATAATCATTGTGATGATATTCAATTTGAGTCACGCGAGCCCTCGGACGTTTCTGCCGTCTGGTTCGGGGGTGTGACATAAGACAATCAATTTCATTTCATTCAACTCATGCCTAAGACCCAAAACCTCCCATGTGACCAGATATTCAACAACCCATTCCCAAAATCCACATCTTCTCCCTGCTCTCTAAAAAAAATGAAAAAACAAAGCTTTACGATAAATGCCATGGCTTACACATTTATAGAAGAAATATAAAAGAGAAAAGCTTCAATCTTCAAGATCGGGCTTTACTAACGAATTAGGGCACGTTCTGAACTTTTTCACCATATTCGGTGGTGTCGTGGAGACTCGAATCCGACTCGGGAGCCCACAGTAGCACATAATTTGGTTGTTTGAGGCGGAGACGATAGAGGCTTGCGACATCTTCTTCTTCAACTCTGTTCAATTTTGGGCACAAGAAATACGAGACCTTTGTTGTTTGTTGGGGGGGGGGGGGTGTTATAGGCATGCTACCAGACACGTAACATGCCAACTAAGCAAAATTGGAAGAAATTGGTAAAAGGAACGACATTTAAACGGTTTTAACAACCCTATTAGTGTAATAAGTACAAAAAAAACCTTAGGGACCTAATGTGGACAAAATGAAAACCTTATTACCCTCCATGGTCATTAAACGTTTTACAAAACCTGAATTTTTTATTTTTATTATAAGTTCCGTGCCTTGTCTTTTTCTTTTACATTTTTATCTAACTTTTTAATTTTTTAGGAATTTTCTTTGGACTTCTTTTATAAATTTTCCTCAAATTTTTATTTGTTTACAACCCTTTTTTATGTAGTTTTTAAACATATTTTTCTTAAAAAAAAGCCATTTTACAATTTTGGTTTACATGAAATCATTTTTACGAAATTAGTTTTTTGTAAACTATTTTTTTTCCAAATAACTTTTTATGTATGTTTTCAAGATTTTTTCGTTTATAAAAAATTCTTTTTGACTCATTTTATATTTTTTACAACTTTTTTATTTATTAAAATGTTTTTTATAAAACTATTTTTCTATATTTGTTTTTACTTGTATTTATAATTATAGAAACATATGAAAATTAAGTTTTTTTAAATATTCGTTTTAACAAACAAGAATTTAATTTAAAAAAAAAATACAACTTTATGTATAATTAAATTTAATTCCAGTGTAAATTATAAATTACTTATTGTACATACACATAGTATCAAATAGGGGCTGATTGTTTTTCTAAAAAAATCACTTCCGACCACCTCTAGTTGCGTCGCGCAGAACATGCGTATCACTTGACCTTTCACAGTTGTTTGTTTTTTAAAAGACTTCTAACTTAAAAATTGGTGTGCGTGTGCTGCGTGGTGCAACATTGGACCCTCCTCTTCAAACCATTTTGCACCTTATTTTAAGTTATATTATTCAAAATTACTTTTTTTTTTAATTTTTTCAACAACATGTTTATTATTTTATTAATATTATGAAATATATTATAAAGAATTCAAGTATATTTTACATAATTTTAAAACCATTTGGTAAATTTCATATACATATTTTTTTGTGTTACATTGTCTATAACCAAATATTAATAAATGAAAAAAGTTAATCACTAAAATTACAAAATATATTTAAGCTAACCGAAGAAATAACCATCTTCTTGGAAAGTTTAACAAAATAAACATGTTGTTCGCTAAATTAATAATTTTATTTATTGTTATTTAACAAATATTATGTTTAATTATTTTATATAAACATCTAAAAATAATATCATCACAATCATCTTTATATTCGATTTGCATATGATTAAAACCAAATAAAATTTTGATTTAGAATTATTTTTAACTATTATATGATTAATTTTAGTTTATTTCAGCAACCTGCAGAATTTAAAAAACAAACAGACTTCTTATTGCAGTTTGCAAACGTTAGGTTCATCTCTTCTGCTGCATATGGTTGTAGATGTGGTCCGCAGATTACAAATGTTTTAACTTCGAAAAAACAAACAACATCATAGTATCAACAACATGACATCCGCCCCCATCCAACTTATTTTTATAATTTTTGTCCAAATTTTAGTTTTTTTTTTTTCGAATTTGACCCATATTGTTAACAAAAAATTTCCAACTTTTATTTCGGTTAGCATATATTTTGATAGCATTTGACAAACATTTAGACACATTTTAAAAACAATTTTTTAGCCAAGATGGATAATGCAAGTAATTTTTTTAATTATCTTTTACGTTTTGCATACATGTAAAATCTCTATTGCAATGCACATATTGCAACGGGGATAGAACTACTAGTTTATAAACAATTAACAGTGAATTATTGTTCATGCATCACTAATTGTTAGTATCTTGGTAGCACAACCTCGCGCTTTGTTATGAAAAAATTATGTATATATAATATCTATGACATAGTTTACATTCAACTTAGGTTTAATAATGCATAACAATGTGCTTTTGTCTTGTGAATACAAATATGTAAAAAAATGTATTTTTACATGTTTTTACAACCTTATATGCATGAAAAATGAATATATAAAAAATATTTCGAAAACGAATTTGTTAAAATAAGTATAATTTGTAAAACCTAAAAATTCTTTAAAAAGTAGGCATAAAACAAAGATCTTAAAACTGGAAATTTCTTTAAAAACATGCATAAAAATGAAGACATAAACTTTGAAAAAAAAATATATGACTTTGAAAAAAGAATTTCGTAAAAAGGAAATTTGTAAATAAAAGATGAAAAGAAGTTGATTTTTTTTTCTGAAAAAAGCAAGTTTCAAAAAAACATACAAAAGAAAAATTGTAAAAAAATAAGGGAAAAGTTGTAAAATAATTTGGACCTAATTCGTGAAAAAAATGATGGTTGGGTTAAAATTATAGAAAACGTATAATTGGAGGGGCGGATACATATCAAAGTCCGATGAAAGCACGCGGGTTAGACGATACTCGGGCTTTGACTCACATAAAAAAATATGAAAAAAGAGGATTGAACATAGGGATGCAAACGAGCCAAACTACTCGTGAGCTACTCGAGATCGGCTCGGTAAAAGCTCGACTCGAAACCGATTTTAAACGATCCTGAGCCGAGCTCGAGCTTAATATTAAGCTCGTTTATTAAACGAGCTCGCGAGCCTAAACGAGCCTATATATAATATAATTTATTATTATTTTTATATATTAAAATAAATAATATTTGGGGAATTACGGATTTAGGGTATTAGTAAACGAGCTTCTTAACGAGTTTGAACCGAGCTTAAGCTCATTTAGGCACGTTAGACAAAAAACGAGCCGAGCTCGAGCCCGAACCGATATTGTATAATTCTTTACGAGCTCGAGCCGAGCTCAATACAAGAAAGCTCGAATCGAGCCGAGCTCGAGCTCGAGCCTTGTATAACTTAAACGAGCCCGAGCCGAGCCTGACCAGGCTCGGGCTCGGCTCGGCTCGTTTGCACCCCTAAATTTGAACATGCATGCTCTCATTCATGCCAAGTGATGGTGAAGCCATTAGGCCGTGTATCAATTTACTCCTACAAAATAATAAATAAAGTTATTATTTATAATGTCACGTCAACATTTAGAAATGTTATTATTTATAATTGATAACTAGAATCGGCGGTATAATATATTTTTAGCATTTTCTATATTATTAAAGAACTAACACATTTATTGTAGTGAACAATGTATTTCATGTAATTAATCTCTTTATATTAAACACAATAAATATAAATACAATAACGAGTTATATAAAAAAGGGTCGGTTACATGGGCCTATATAAGAACCATTTATACACACCAATATCCGTCACAATGGATGAAAACTCATGATCTGAAGACAATAGAAGCTCTTTGATGAAGATAACATCATATTGAGACATATATGGAACATGTAACATCTGAATCTCGATGTAAAAAATTTTATTTATGTTTGAAAACCTGGTTGGCCACGACGTGGTTATGGTATCACCACGACGTGACAAATTGGTTTGAAACTGCTCATCTTAAATGGGTGCCACAACGTGACACTAAGTTGGCCACAATGTGGTGACCATTTTGGGCCAAATCTTAATTCTCGGGCTTTGAGCCAAATTTAAAGGAAGTAAAGGCTAGGGTTTCCTCCACCCTCAACCTTCATTACTCAAATGACTCCTTGTCCAAAACCCTAGTTCTTTTGGAAGCTTTTGTGCTCATTTTGCAAGTTCTTGGTTGTTTTAATGGAAAAAGAAGAAGAGTTAGTGTCTTGATCCAACAAACAAACCTTCCCTTCACTTGTATGCATATTGTGGGCTTTTTGTAAGTCCTCAAGTTTCCATCTTTTAATGTCTTTCTCCTTAGATCTAGGCTCTTTGTAATTTTATGGTCCCTTTCATGTGGTTGGTATGGGTTGATGAGATAAAGTTTGCAACTTTATGGTTTATCTAAGTCCCAAGAGCATTATATCTCATAGATAAAGGAAGTGGTGGTGATTTGGGAACCTTGCTTGAATTATAGGTTATATTGCATCTTTTGACATAAATTTGGGAAAATATGGTATGCAACGTATCTAACATAATCAAGTTCTACTATTTCCAATGATGACCGAATGTGTCTAGATTTCTATTCTTAAAATATTTTGTACTCAAGAAAAACATGAGAATATTTTACTCCTTATAAATTTTGCTGCCCTTATATGTTCTTAGTATAAATTGATCACCATTTCTTTATACGAACCCCGATATTAATTTATTGTAAATTCTTTATCAATTCAATCACCACACTCGCTGCTGACTTATTTTATCATGTGTATTTTTGTCAATACGTTCATATTCCACATCTTGTCATTAAACTCCTGGAACTATAAGTACGGTGTCATTTACACCCAAGTTATGACCATTTTAGTGATAACTCTTTTTATATACTAACATATGACATGACAAAACTCATTGGACCCTAATATAAACTTTTAAAATAAGAACATGATATTTTGATGGATTAAAAAGTATAAGGACCAAACTTGATAAAAACAAAACCTATCGTGGCCAAAGGTAAAGTTTAGCCGAAAAGGGCACTTCGAATATGGAACAAGGGTTTAGCGTCAAAACACATTCAAAATCTCACCCCCGAGACTCGCAGCTGACATGAGAAGTTTTTGATTTCTGAAAGGGTGAATTGTGATCTCGAAGAACGTAATCATTGTGCGTTCTAGCTGATTTATTTTTGAAAGATGACAGGAAGATTTGCATTTAGATTCATGAAAGGATCTTTAACACAAAAGCTAAAACAAATGGCGTCTCCCGTTGCCAATCCTAGGCATTACTGTTCCTCTTCTTCTTCTTCTTCAGCTAAACCTAAACTTTCTCAGTCTTCTAGAAAGGTAACTTCACTTGACTTAAATTTCGATTTCTTACAATGGAATAGTCTGTGTACTCATCAAAAAATCATGGTCAGGAAATTATCGAAAGCTTCATGATTTCGGGTCTCTGAATCGTGGTTATCTTAAACTGTAGGAAAGATTACTTGCAGGAGCTGCAATCGGTGTCGTTGGGGGAGCTTATGCCAGCACTTTGGATAAAGAAACATTCAGGTACGTTACTTAATCTGGATGCGATTAAGGAAAAGAGGGTTTTGATGCTATTATTGTAAGATATTTTTGCAGTGGGTGGCTATTCACAGCAACAAAAGCTCTCAATCCAATGTTTGCATTATTAGATCCAGAAGTTGCTCACCGTTTAGCTATCTCTGCTGCAGCTCGTGGGTGGGTCCCACGGGAACAGAGGCCAGATCAGCAAATTTTAGGGCTTGAAGTTTGGGGAAGAAGGTTTTCTAATCCAATAGGACTCGCTGCAGGATTTGATAAAAATGCAGAAGCTGTTGAAGGTTTACTTGGATTAGGGTTTGGTTTTGTTGAAGTTGGATCAGTTACTCCTATTCCACAAGAGGGCAATCCAAAGCCTCGTATGTTTAGATTGAGAAATGAAGGGTGAGAAACAAATGTTTCCTATTAACAAGGGCAAATTTGTAATTTGTAAAAAGTTAGGACTCGTTCTTTTTGCATTTAGTCAAAAGATACACACATATATAGCTTATCGAGGATACATGATGTTTGCTTTTGTGGACTGAATGAACCGTCTTAATGAGAGAGTAAATGACCATTTTACCCTTCCGTCTAAAAGTGATTTGTTTGATATCATGGTTGATTTGCAGTCTTGTACATGCTTATCTCATTGTAAATAGAAGGGTAAAATGGTCATTTACTTAGATTCAAAATTTTGTTTGTTGTTTATGTCATTCTAAATAGAAGGATGCATGATATTTGCTTTTGTGGATTGAATGAACCGTCTGAATGAAAGAGAAAATTACCATTTTACCCTTCTGTCTAAAAGTGATTTGTTTGATATTATGGTTGATTTGCAGCCTTGTCCATGTTATGTCATTCTAAATACAGGGTTAAAATGGTCATTTACTTAGATTCAAAATTTTGTTTGTTTATGTCATTCTAAATAGAAGGATGAGAGAGTAAATGACCATTTTACCCTTTTTCCCAAAAAGATTTGTTTGATATCATGGTTGATTTGCAGTCTTGTCCATGTTTATGTCATTCTAAATACAAGGGTAAAATGGTCATTTACTTAGATTCAGAATTTTGTATGCTGTTTTATAATAAGTCATCTTGTTTTGTTTTTGGGCAGTGCTCTTATTAACAGGTGTGGATTTAATGGTGAAGGAATAGTTGCTGTTGCAGAAAGATTGGATACTCAAAATGGTAAGAGAAAGCCAGAAAAAACTTCAACTTCTTCAAATGATGAAGTCAAACATGGTCAAGGAATTCTCGGGGTCAATATTGGAAAAAATAAAACAAGTGAAGATGCTGCTGCAGATTATGTACAAGGCGTACATGCTTTGTCCCAATATGCTGACTACTTGGTAGCTTCTTTTTAACATTTCATTTTAAATCTTTATATTTCCATTTAATTTAATTTTAACATTTTTTAATCATGTTGTAACTTGTAAGGTAATTAATGTTTCATCACCCAATACCCCTGGACTTCGGAAGCTTCAAGGAAGAAATCAATTAAAGGACCTTGTTCAAAAGGTTTGTAAATTGTAATCCAGTTCAAACTTTTTGTTTAAAATATTATTTTGTGTTAGTATATAAATAATAAATGATAAATTCATCAAAATTTTTTGTATGATTAAAGGTTAAAGCAGCTCGTGATGAAATGGAATGGGGTAAAGTGGGCCCTCCTCCATTGCTTGTAAAAATTGCTCCAGATTTGTCTAAGCAAGATCTTGAAGATATTGCTGTGGTATGTATTTTGGGTTAAATGCAAGAAATAGTAATGTATTTTACTCTAATTGATTTGTTTGTTATAGCATTTTACTTTCATTCTTCTTATTAAAGCATTATAATTTGAAACTTTACCTAATTATATCAATGTCATCCGTATAAAATGCAATTTTCATTGTCATAAATTGGTAGATTTCTCAAAGTATAATGTTCTAATAAAAAAAAAATTAGAAGTAGAGTAAATTACACGAAGGGTCCCTATGGTTTGGGGTAATTTGCACGCTTGGTCCCTAACTTATTTTTTTTAACTCGGAAGGTCCCTGCTGTTTGTTTTTGTTACGCGGTTGGTCCTTACTGTTTGTTTTTGTTACGCGCTTGGTCCTGTCTTACCTAAAAAGACTATTATTTAAATAGGGAAAAATGGTGGGGTAGGTAAGGAAAGGTGAGGGGTGGGGTTGGGGGTGTGTTTATTTAAATAAACTAAAAAATCAAGGGCAAAATAGTCTTTTTAGGTAAGACAGGGACCAAACGCGTAACAAAAACAAACAGTAGGAACCTTCTGAGTTAAAAAAATAAGTTAGGGACCAAATGCGCAAATTACCCTAAACCATAGGGACCATTCGTGTAATTTACTCTTAGAAGTATAATGTTACAATTAGGTAGATTTTCGAAGTACAGTGTCTTCTTAATAAGAAAAAGTTTGAAATTACAATGCTTTAGAGAAATGAAAGTAGGATTCTATAATACGCAAATAAATGAAAGTAAGTTGCTATTTCTTACATTTGGCATATGTATATTACTATATTTGTAATATAAGACTTACCCTGTAAGAACTTTGGGTTCTTACTTGTTCCATTTTGATTTTGTAGGTTGCTCTTGATCTCCACTTGGATGGTTTGGTATGTTTCTGAACTATACAAATGCTTGTTGCATTTTTTTTAGCTTTTGATAATTTATTATTTGGATAAATGCAATACATAGCAATGTGATTATTCACAAAGCGTACCTTCTACCTTTAAAAAAGGCCTTTTAAAAGATGAGGTGGCGCCTCTAATGGCCAATATGAGGTGGAGGCCTTATTGGAATGAGGCGTACGATATACTAATTTTGACTAATTTAATAGACTATATCACTACTTCATTGAGTTTCCGAGTTTGACTATTTTATTGACTCTTTGACTATGACCTAATTAACTATCTGCGTCTACTTTCATCTTTTTTCTCTTCATCATCGCCTACCGTAAATTCCTCACTCTAAATCGAAAAGCTTTCACCACCGGTTGAATCTAAATTGAATGACTTTTTCCTTAGTATTTCACCACCACACATCTTTTTTTTACGGTATAACTATTTTTTTTGGGTATAATTTGTCATTATGTTTTCGCAACTCGGTTTATTAATTGACAATTTAGATTGTTAGTAGTAAGTGATTTCTTACAATACGACATTGGCCAATATGAACTAGTTTGGTGGCTTATAAGTTATAAGTGTAGGTGTCCCCTCCCCTACAAGCTGGATTTAGGAGTCAGTTCTTCACTTGGGCTTATGACATAATATGGGCCTAGTATGGGACGGGTTCATATCATTTGTTATAGGAGCTAACCCTATCTTAGAAGGTTCCAACACTCACGTAGTGGTGGCTTGGACCCGCAAAGAGGGGTGCCAACCGTGACAAACGATGACTTTGGTGACTTGGACACGAGAAGAGGGGTACCAATTGTGACCAACGTAGCCCTGATCAACGAGGATGTTGGCCCTTAAAGCGTGGGACAATTGTTATGATCCCAAATCGGATAAATATAAATTAGGTTGGTGGCTTATATAAGTTTAGGTGTCCCAACTCCCAACCTCTTACAAGCCAGTTTTAGGGGAGGGAGGGTTCTACACTTGGACTTATGGCATGATACGAGTCAGATGGGTTCGTATCACGACCATAAACAAATCGGACTTGAAGATATGGTGTTGAGCATGAGGTGTCGGCAGAGGCTCGAAAGAAAGACTAAATATATAAAATGCAAATTAGTATGAGTCAGAAGAATGAAAGCGCATCTGATTTGCAGACACAAAGATGTAGTACCATGTCCTCAAGTTCGAGGACATCTTCAAACTCCCACATCTTAAAAGAACGCTTGGAAGGGCAATCACGGTGAACACTCACAATTATAACCGTACTTTCGCTACCCAACATAATGAGAGTTCATTTGGGCAAAAAGATATGGTTAGACCCGTAAAGATGTGATTGGCACGGGTTTTTTAACATTGAATTGCAACAGGGCTGACAAATTTTTATTAAGAAAAATGTTCACTTTCAAAATGTGGACAAAAAACAAGTTTTTGAAGGAGGCAAGAGAAAACAAATATCCACTACCATATTGTTGCCTTCTATTTGGAACAAATTATTTGTCGTTATTACGAGTGCTTCATTTGGTTAATGGAGAGGAAACCTCATACGGGTTATTGATATGGCAAAAAGAGATGATGACGTTTTTCAAGAGTTAATCGAATAAATATGAAGACATCTTCCTAATCGTTGATATGAGATGAAATTATTTGTTAGTTACATCGACCTTTGCACGTAGCTAGACATTTGTTGAATCCATCTTTGTATCATAGTGCAAAGCAAGTTAAAGGAGGGAGATCTCTATAAAATACTGAATGCTTGATGGAATACGTAAGGGGCCCTGGAATTTGAGACGCGAAATTTTAGACGCAGGAAGATCTCTATAAAATTGAAACACCAAAATTTTTCCTCTTTCCAGGAAGTTGGCCCTACCCCTATTTATTGGCCTTCCTAAATTGATAAAAAGGAGATGATATCCGATAAAAAAGGAAACTTCCTAATAAAATACCAAATCATAATAAACTAGATAAATACCAAAAATACTAAACACCCATTGCTTGATCATACTTATAGCTTGCACCGGGTACAAAAGAAATATAATTTAGCAGAGTGGTGGATGCAATATGGAGCACGTCACTCAAACTCAAAATTTTTTGCAGTTAAAGGGGCTAAGTTTACATGTAGCTCGTCGGGTTGTGAATATAATTGGAGTGTATATGAACATTTATGTAACTCGTTATTTCAAAATTATAATATAGATTATAGAAACATGTTATAAATTATAGGGGTGATAACACTGTATCCCATCGAACTTTCAAATTGTGGTTTAAATGGTCCCTAAACTATTTTTATGGCTTTTTTGGGCATAAGGTGGGTTATGACCTACTAGTTTAGTCCGTTGTATTGGGCTCTACATATACATTTTGATCAACACCGACGTGGACGCATACTCTGCAAACTCGACGTTTTCAAAGTCTTCGGGTGACCGGCACACGTTCTCTCCAAGCGTCACTGTTGCACCCCTGCCCCCTATAAAAATAACCTTTTCATGTCTTAAAATGGAGAAAACCAAAAGCCTTTTTACCCTAAATTCGAAAAAAACCTCCATATCATAATCGGTTAAAATTTGATGATGGGCTCTCCTGCTCACAGTTGGTCCTTTAATGATCGATGCCACCTTGATGATAACGGTTAAAATCGTTACCATCCACAGCCACAGGGCCTCGAGGGTACCCTTCTCAAAATTCAGTTGGAGGTGATGCTATTTAAGGACGAAGTTTCTGTAGACTTGTTGCAATTGAAGTTGAAGCCGGAGAGAATGAGAGTTTCATTGAACCTGGAGGTTAACTACTTGAAGGCTGACCAGATAGATCTTGCGATGATGACACACGATGTGAGGAACCACTTCTACTCCTTGCAAGCCGGTTACTTTAAGGTTACATCGTAGCTTATGCCACTGGAGATGAAAGTGGAGAATATGTCCCGATTTGAATTGGTTGGGTGTTTGATAAGAAAATGTTACAGAACCAAAGATATGGTGCATCCTAGTGGACCCCAACACATTGATTGTTTTGTTGTTGATAGATTATGCCTACTCCGATATAGAATCCAAGTGTTGGATCCACTAAGATGCCTCTTATCATTATGTTCTGTAGCATTTTTCATATCAGACACCCAACCAACAAATCGGGATACCTTCTCCACCTTCCTCTTTAGTGTCATAAGCTCCGGCGTAACCTTAAGATAACCAACTTACAAGGAGTAGAATTGGTTCCTCAAATTGTCTATCATCATTATGTGGCCAACCTTCAAATCGTCCACCTCCAATTGCAAGTCAGTTTCTCCTTCAACTGCAAGTCTGTAACAGGTCTATAGAAACTTCGTCCTTCAAAGCATCACCTTCAACTGTGCTACGCGAAGGGTGACCTTGAGGATGGTAACTATTTGAGTCGTTATCATCAAGGTGACGTCAATCGTTGAAGGACCAACTGTGAGTTGGTGAACCCATCATTGGATTTTAGCGGATTAGGGTATGGATGTTTTTGTTGAATTTAGGGTAAAGAGGTTTTTGGTTTTCTCCATTTCAAGCCTGGAAAATATTATTTTATGGGGGGTGGAGGTGCGACAGTGACGTATGGGGGAGTACGCGTCCCTGTCACCTGAAGACCTTGAAAATGACATCGTTTGCGGAGTATGCGTCCACATCGTTGTTGATCAAAATGTACATGTGGAGCTTTATACTTGTTGAAAGGACTAAACTAGTAAGCCATAATCCACCTTATGCCCTCATAAAACCAAAAAAATAGTTTAGGGACCATTGAAACCACAACTAAAGTTTGATGAGCTACAATATCATTACCCCTAATTTATAATATATGCTAATAGTTATTATGTATTACTTATTCAACTTTTATCTAAGAAAAGAAACCAATTAGAGCAGCAAAAGCTGAATGATTTAGTTTAGAAAACGACGTTTCTACTTATAAAGACTGTGTTCATCGGATGGAGACGATGACCCCAAATACGAGGATTTAGATGATCTATGATTTAGACTTGTATGGACTGAAGTGCCTTCAACTGCATTGACCACTTGACTTTTTCATCTTTTAGCATATGTGAACCTTGTAGGAGGCTTATCACAATGTACTTCCATTCTTTTGTTTATTATAGCATCCTACTTTCATTTTTTCCTAATACAAAATCGTACTTTGAAAAAAATTTATCCATTTATAGTAATGCCATTCAAATGCAAAACAATTCACATTGCTATAATTTCTTAATATATTTTTTTGAAAGTACAATGTTATGATTGTGTGGATTTTTTGAAATATAATGACTTAATAAGGAAAAACTTGGAAGTATAATGCTGTAACAGAAAGATACCAAACTAACTAACGCCAAACTCCTATTTATACTCATTTAAACCAACTTAAGTAGGAGAATGACCAAATTGCCCCTCTTTAAGACTACTAAGAATTGTAACATTTATCTTGTTGGTTGTAGATTATATCAAATACAACCATTTCAAGGCCAGAAGCTGTTGAGAGCAATCCGGTGTCAGAGGAAGGTGGTGGATTGAGTGGGAAGCCTCTTTTTAATTTATCAAATGACATCTTAAAGGATATGTATATTTTAACAAAGGTACACTTTTCTTGCTATAAAGATTGTCAATTCCTCCTTTTTCTTTTTGTGATTATTGCCTCTTAATGTGAATTTGATTATAGTTATTTTATGAATTGTTGGCTAAATCGATATACTAGATTTAGCCACTAAACTATTGTGTTTTTTTTTTTATCGATTTAGCCTCTGAACTCTTATTATAACAATCATAAAAAAATTGAGTGACTAAATCGATAAAATGGTGAAATGCATTGTGGTTTTAAACTTTTAATAGAAGTTAGCGAGAATCAAGAAAGTTTTAGCTTATTTTATAGCTATTAATTATTCTCCTCATACTTAATTAAACTTTATAAAGCGAATGAATTATATGCTTTTAGTTTTTGCCCATGTTACTTACAAACTTTATAATTCTTTGAAGAATAATTAATACTTGATTCTTATTTAAAAAATCTATTTGAGAATATATTTAACCTTTTTTTTAGGGAAAGATTCCTTTGGTTGGCTGTGGAGGTGTAAGCAGGTTTGTTTTTTATTGCATTAAGAGACTTGGTTAAACTTAAACCTCTTGAAAAGAAACTTGGTTATATTATTTAGTGACATTTTCCATACTTTTAATTTATAAATTTTATTAAATAAATCATTTTACCAAATCCTTTTATTAATTTAGTGGAGAGGATGCTTACAAGAAAATAAGAGCAGGAGCTACTCTTGTTCAGCTTTATACAGCTTTTGCTTATGGTGGGCCCGCCCTTATACCCCAGATAAAGGTATATAGATTTTGCACAAAAGGGTAAAATGGTCATTTAACCTCTGTCATAATTTAGGACTTATAACAGGGAAGAGGTTGTTTCTTTCACTTAATTGGTTTAATGTATTAAGATATTATAATCAATGAATATTTGGGAAATTTGTTTTTTGGAATGTAAGGGTAAAATGGTCTTTCAGTCCATATAGTTACTAGTCATTCAGGACTTAATCGGGTGAAATAATAGAGTATATTTTCAAATTTTTGTATAATCATCATAACAATTTTTTTTTTTTTTGCAGGCAGAACTTGCAGGTTGCTTAGAAAGGGATGGCTTTAAGTCAATGTATGATGCAATTGGTGCAGACTGCAGATAAACATGATGCCAAATTATCATGTAATTTTTTTTAATTGTTTTTGTAAAATACAAGCTACTAAGAGAATTCATATTAACACAATATTCTGAAGCTAAAATTTTCAAGGCTTTAAATACTTTTGTTCTTATTTATTAATTTTGTTTTTACAAGCAATTGTAGTAATGATGTTTTAGGATCTAGGGGGCCGGGGGGGGGGGGGGGGGGTCATATTTTTGATGTTAATTGTATGCTAATAACATTGTAATGTTGTACCTAATGAACCGGAGGGGAGAATGATATGATGTATTTCAAGCATTTTTTACATTAGGATATTAGTTTTGAGTAAAGATTGTATTTAGTGCAAATTGGAAGAAATAGCAACCTACTTCATATTTTTTTTTCTAAAACTATAGGTAATGTACTCTATATGTAAACCCCGTAATGGCAATTTACTTACATTTCCTCACATAGCAACGTTTATATATATTTCCTTAACAACAATAATGGCATATTTACATTTTTTTTACTGATAATATGAGTATGTAACATGTAAATTACATCTTCTATTAGAGTGTTGTATCAAAAGTTCAAAACTTATGGATTTAAACTTAGTCCTTGAGGGTCTGAAGCTTGGGATGAAATCTAAGGTTTCAAGGTATAATTTCTCCTCTGTTAACCTTAATTCGAGTTTGAAGCTTGGGATGAAACGCAATGTCGATTTTATGTTGAACTGATGACTAGGGTTTTGTTTTCTAACTCTTCTAAGATGGTTGATGTTGTTCTAAACCTAATCATACCATTCATTTAATGGATTTGGTGTTTGGGTAAGAGTTTAGCCACAAACCCTAAAATCTCAATTATGATCATGAATTTGTTAAGTTGATATCTAAATGATTCTATGATCATTATGTAGTTTTGTTGCAATAAATCCATTATGGATGCACAAACTCAAGGAACAAGAGAATCAAAGTTTGAATGATTTGAATTAGGAACTCAATAGTTAAATGAAGCTTCCACTTGGTTTTTAGCATCTACTAATGTAAATGAAATTCTAGTTCATGAATTGATACATTGAGAATGATTTGGATGTAAAACATGAAGGATCACTTTATCTATAAGTGGTTTGGCCGTAAGGGCAAAATTGGAAACTATGGAATTGGAATAGAGCTTCCATAGTTAGGATTCAAGCTTTCAAACATTTGGATGGAATTAACAAAAGTTGAAATGCATCTATTATGATCCCAATGTGGTCTAAAAGGTTTTGGGAAGGTTACATAGTTCATTAGTAAGCCCGTGAACATTTTGAGCTCTTAACTCCATAAGTAGAAGTTTGATGAACAATAAAACTATGGAATTATTGTGATAACCTTAATGGATTAAATGATGGGTTTTTGTATGTTATAATTTCTTCAAAACATGTTTGGGATTCCATAGAAATGGTACATGATACTACTTAAGAAACTTAATATAATATGTAAAGTAGAATGTTTAAATGAGAAGAAAATTGGAAATGACAAATAATTAAGCAGAATGCGGCGTATAATATCCCTTGATCTGTTTCATATTTTGTTGATTTTCGAAGTTTAGCTTATCCATTTGGTCCAATTTCACCTCCATAAGTTATAATTGGAGTAAAATAGACATTTTGATATTAAGAGAGTTTGTGACCCTCTAAAGGTATTTTAGTCATTTTAGTAACCTATATTTATATCTTATAGGTGGGGATTTAAGAAGAGTTTCTCTAAGGAAACGACTTACTTCTTAAGCTAAGGATTGATGTGAGTTTATCGGGAGCACACACCCCTATACCTCACTTCATGTGTTTTGTTTGGTTTTCATGACATGATATCTATCTATATCTATATCTATATCTATATCTATATATCTTATAAAGCTAGCATTTTTCCTTGAACCTCATGTATTTGAAACTCCCATGCATTTTTCCTTTCACCACATTCATTTGAAACTCCCATGACTTTTCAATTTCTTTCTAATAATAATTATAAGTTGGTTAATAAGGTTAAATAAATATCAAACCTAAAGTGTAATCATATATAAACTAAATGTCAATATTAAAATAAATGCCAATATTAAAATAATATATTTACTTCTACTTATAAAGTTATGTTTTTAACTTTTAACATATTATATTTAATTTATTAGTTTTAATATATTGTTGGATGTAAACGATTATCATTTTAAAGATACAAATTTGGAACAATTTGTATAAAATAGTTAAATTATTAATTTAAATATAACATTACATGGTCAACTTAAATATAAATTTTAGTTTACCTTAAACAACCCAAAAAATATTTTGTAAATAGTTAAACGTGATAAATTGTAATGTCTTTCTAATAATGATTATAAGTTGGTTAATAAGGTTAAATAAATATCAAACCTAAAATATAATCATAAATAAACTAAATTTCAATTTTAAAATAATATTTTTCCTCCTACTTATAAAGTTATGTCGTTAACTTTCAACATATTATATTTAATTTATTAGATTTAAAATGTTGTTGTATGTAAGTCATTATCATTTTAAAGCTACAACTTTTGAACAGTTTAGAAAAAATACTTGAATTGTTAATTTAAATATAACATTACAGTGTCAACTTAAATATAAATTTCAGTTCCACTTAAAAAAACCAAAGAATATTTTGTAAATAGTTAAAAGTGATAAATTGTAGTGATAAATACAAAAACTAAATTATAATCTCAATTTAACTAAAATATTTCCTAAAGATATTTTTATAATCATTAAAAGTTTTCAAATAAGTAGCTTAAAATAACTTACAATAACAATAGTTAAAAATAACTATATATAAATGATTATATTGTTACCTTTAAAATCAAAAAACAATGTTTTGATGTTTTAAATAATTACAATGATAGAAATTAAAACATTAAGCAAATAAATTTTAAAAACTTTATTAACAATAACAATAACTATAAATAACATTAAACCATATATTATATTTAATTTTATTCATATGTAACTCGTGGGTAGACGTCATTCAAACGATTGAAATAATGCATTTATAATAGATGTATATATTATCATATAATTCAAAATAATCAATATATTATATCAATTTAGTATACGAATTATTATATCAAATTTAACAACAACATTATTGTTATATTTAAAAAAAACATATATTTGTAAAGACTTCAACTATATAGGTGTTTCTGCGCAACGCGCGGGTATTTGCCTAGTTTATACATAAACCTTGATTGCGATGTGGGTTATATGTACATTTATGAAATCTAATTTTTGAAATTCTTTTGGTTGATATAAAGCTAAAATGCTTATTTTTATAAAAGACTTTTTAGCATCCTGCTTGTTGCATTCATACTAGGATGGGTGACTTGAGTGGCCACAAGACTTTGGGACCCCGCAAACGAGAAATGAATACCTAACTTGAGGATTGTGAGTAAATTTCTAGATAACTCTCATGTGTACATGTGGGATCGCTACCCCTTGTGTGGCATAGGATTATGGCTCCCTAATTGCCTAGCGTTGTATGATAGGACAACAGTTGAGTGGTGGTTCCAATATGTCACCATTCATGAGTCTCGATTATTAGCCATTAATATTTACGAGTTGGACTTATGAGATGGACAAAGTTGGGTGTAGTTGCATGCATTGCATATCTTTTTGAAATCATTCCTTATTTTCCCTAGTTTTTATTAGATTTTTTCTAGCAATTGAAAGGTTTTGAACAAACTAACATATAATTTATGGAAGTAGAAGCATATTAAAATTCTAGTCCTATGTTCAAACTAAAACCTACAAGGATCTTATGGTCAGACAATTATTTCAACTACAAGAAAAATGAGAATTACATACCTCTTTGTTAGCCAAAGATCTCCTTGCTTACAATCTTGTTCTTGCCACTTTGTTTGGATGTCAAGGATCCAAACAAGAATCCTTCTAATGGTATCACGCCTAAGATCACCAACCAAGCAATAAGACAAGACCTTGGATGTAACGACCAGGATTTCTAACATCTAATCTAAGAGAAATATCAGAGTTTTTTTTACAATTGTGGAATTCTACTATAACATCCCTAAAATCATAGTAAACGTTTTTCAATTTTAAAACCATTTAATAATCCACAAACCATACAAAAACAATGTTTTCAAGAACATAGTTAAAATCAGAGTATCCCAAAAATCATCAATCAATAAAATATCCAAGGATGATGTGCACAATCACGCCTTCGCTTTGCCTCGATCATCTGATGTACCTGAAACCATGAAATCAAACTGTAAGCCAAAGCTTAGTGAGTTCCCCCAAAATACCCACAGAACAGAACAAATACAAACATGCATGTTGGGTCCATAGTCTCCCGACTGGATTGCTCTGGGTTTTTTTGCCTACAACACAAAGCAGTACCACCTCAACCCCCGCACTATGTCGACATATGCAATAGATAAACATATAACCAGCAAATACAGGTAATCATACAGGTCTACCAATCTAACAGTTAACTATAACATATCATCATCCTATATACCGGAATACATAAAACAACCTAATGAGCCGACATTGGTGTTTTCGACCCACGAGTATAGTGAGTAAAACTCACCTCAAAGTCTAGAAGATAGATGAATTGATCACTACTCCAAATACTGACTCTATAGGTCACCTAAACATCAAACAGGGACCCAACCTCAATCTACTATTCAAATTATCCCAAATGACCTAAAGTCAAACTTGGTCAAAGTCAACGTGTAAGGTCACACATTATGATCTGATGAGTCAAAACACTCTATACGCTAACTGTCAGTGTCAACGTCAACATCAGCATCAGTGCCAGCGCCTCAAGCTTTATCAGCGCCAACGTGTAGTTATATAATATAAAGTAATCTTTGTATATTAGGTAACTATACATATACATATATATATATATATATATATATATATATATATATATATATATATAAAATAGATAGCATATTCGATATCTTTGTGATGAAGATTAGTTCTTAGTATAGATTAGATACAATCCCTTTAATCAAGGGATATACTTGGATAGATTAGTATATATTCAACATTAGGGTGAAATCCTAATGTTAACGTCTTGGTGACAACCCGTTTTCTTGGTGAAAACAAACCATTTCTTGGTGACAGACAATTTGGTGAATCCTCTATGTTATTTACTTTTTCTGTTCTTTATTTTCTTAGTTATTTTGTTCTTTTTTATTATACTTGAAGTGTATCTGATCGATACAAACCTGCATGGTAACAAAAGGACCTTAAAGATCGAAACTTTACTGCTAATGGGACTTATATAGCACTAAGGGTGGCAACCTTAAGCATAGATACAAAGTTGAACCATAAAAATCTATTATTGGGACCTAAAACGGTCTAAAACTCCATTAACATAGATCTAAGCATTCATGAGGCAAGTTGAAAGCTTTTTACCTCAAATGAGTGCCAAATGGTGGTGTTATCTCGGATCATTGAGCTCAAGCTACTTCAGTTCTTCTTCTTCAACTTCTTCTTTCTCCTTTCAAGCTTCTAAACACCACAAAGAACTTTACAAAGCCAAAAACAGACTAGGATGAAGAATGAGAGGCTATCTAGGGTTTCTGAGGTTGAGAGGCTGGTAAGGAGGCTAGGGTTTGATTCATATTGTTGTATTTATATGGCTTAAACCCTAAAAATTAGGGTTTTGAGTCTGCTTGCGTACGCTGCGCGTACGCACCTCCGCCCCGGCATCCAATGTTGTACTACGCCCCGCGTACGTCAAGCTTACGCCCAACATATGTTTTCGGGTAGCCCAATCCTATCGGCCCACTTGCTAACGTCCACTCAATAATCCATTTATTTATTTTATAGCCCAACTATTAATTATAAAAAAAATATTAAATAATTATTACCTCAAATGACGGATGTTACAGATATGCTCAAAACCCATAAGTATTTATATTAAATACTTCATATATATATATATATATATATATATATATATATATATGTGTGTGTGTGTGTGTGTATGTGTGTGTGTGTGTGTGTAGGATGAAAGTAAATATGCACTCACTTGTTAAAGTGATGACTTGAAACTCGGACAACGCTTCGCTTCTAGCAACTATCTTTTCCTTCAAGGTAACCTAGTATTATTATCATTGAGTCTTAGTCGAATATTTCTTGCGGCTAATTATTAGTCTAGATTAATCATTAATTCAAAGTCTACTGATCTATAGCTGATAAGGAACAACCAGGTAAGATCATATCAAAGGCAGGGTTCTTTTGGTATACAGAGTATATTATTTGGAAAGCCCATTTTAAACACCTCACTAAATCTAGCCTTGTCATCATCCCCGTAAGTAGATCAATCAATATAAAGACTTGGAATCACTGACAAATATTATTTATAGGTTCATAATAATGATAATGAACTTAAACATAAGTTATACTTAAATCACGGTAAGCATAACTTAACTTATAGGTGGTTTAGTGAGAAACCGGACTTTGCACGAGCATAATTTCTAAACTGAAAGCTCTATTTCTCGAGGCTTTCTGGCACTCCGGAGCTTCTCTACTAACACTTAGGAAGTGATAGAGAAAGGCCTTGGGACCTTGGGAGGTTTTTGGATGAGAAATGATGAAGAGGTGTGAAGAAAAGAGTGAAATTCGTGTTCTGTTTATAGGCTGTCAGGACGCCTAGTACGCTGGGCGAACTCAAATTATGTTGGGCGTACTCAAATTATGTTTGGCGTAATCAGTATGCTATGTTGGGCATATGCAAATTACGCTGGGCGTACTAGGGGCCATGCGTCAACATCTGGTGGCAAGCCGTGCGGAAGAAGGGGGTGCACCAGATCGAGACACGTGCCACACCGAGGTTAATCCAGAAATTAATTATCTTGTAAAATTCATAACTTTTGAATATGAGGTCTGTTTTTGACGACGTTCTTTATATCCATGTGTAGCTATCAACGAGATCTACAACTTCCGTTTCGACTCCGTCGGCTAATTTTGACTTTATTTTTAAAGTTATCTTTTAACAGGCTTCGACAGTTAAAGTCTGTTAAAAATTCATAACTTTGTCATCTGACGTCCGTTTTCGACCGTCTTTATATCGTTGAGCTCCTATTAACGAGATCTTCAATTCTCGTTTAGATTGTGTCGGCTAATAATTGATCTATCTAAAATTCGATTTCTGAGTTGTACACTGCTATGCTGAATCTTATAAAAATCATATATTCCTCAAATGATGTCAGATTTGGACATTCTCTATATGCACACTCTCAGTTTAATGAATACTACGACTCTAGTTTAGATCACTAAGTCTAAAAAGTATTTTATCAAAAATTTACATTTTACGTTACGTAGAATCGTGCTGTTTAAATCGCGAAACTTCAACGGGTCATAACTTCTTCGTTATAAGTCGGTTTTCAACGTTCTTTATGTACGAAATCCTTGTGACATATACTATAACTTTGGTCAAGATTATTTATTGTAAATAATCATCTATCAAAAAATCATTTTTAATGCTTATTATCTCTAAATTGACTAGCCCGAATCTGCGGGCGTTAGACATGAGTAATGGTAAAGATAGAGTAGGAGAAAGCATGAGATGAGCCTGAGAAGAGGCTAGGATAGATGAAGATAGAGCAAAAGAAAATTACAAGAAGAGATGGAAAACATAAGGTAAGATAAAGTATGAATATGGGAAGACAAGATTAGAATTAAAGAGGCATACTAAAGATTGATGTAGAGTATGATTGCATGAAAATAGAGTATGATATAACTCACCAGACCTGTGTGGTCTGATGTTGTAGATTTTTCATGTATTACAGGTTCATTTAGTAGTCGTTGTATGAGAGGAGGTAGGAGCACGAGGACTTGGACTAGAAGTACTTTTTATTTTTAGTATTTTGTTGTTGTAAATTTAAAGTTATGTTTTATTGTAAACCCAATGATACATGGGATGTTAAGTGTTTTTGAGATATAGAGTTCCGTAAATATTTACAAAACTCTGATAATCCCTAAAATGTTTAGAGTGAAAAATTCAAGTCTTTACATTTAACATCCCAAAAATCCACTATTTTTTTTTGAAATCAAAATAAAACATTTCCAAAATAGGGGTTCTATCCATAACAATCATAAAATATCACAAAAATATCGTCAAATGTGTAAACTAAGTCTTATTTTGAAACTAAAACACAAAACATAAACATAAATAGATGCCATGCCCCCGAGAATGTCCAAATACCCCCAATCAAGCTCGCTCATTGCCTTTCGAACTTGAAGGACCTACAACTAAAACATGAATAACAAATGTAAGCCCAAGGCTTAGTGAGTAATCATAACAATCACTCATTATACAGATCATAAGAAATTCTTATCACATACATAAACATCATATAATCATAATTCTCCACATATTATATATATGCTGGCAGACATAACCCCACATATAATTTTTTCTCTTATTAGTTCTATAAGCACACACAATAACTTTATGTAATCACTTTTGTTTTGTATTACCTAGTTTTTTAAGGAAGGAAAAAAACATACATTGCTACATTTCACTCCAATAAGCTTTTCAAGAAAAATGCTGAACTCCAAAACTCCATCCCACCGGAATCAACATCCCAGACTAATGCTCTATCTGGACTGATATATAAAAAATGTTTGCGGATGGATGTTCCATTATAGTGGTCATCAACAATCAGAAGAGTACCGTTACACATTACCCTTTTCTGTATATGATTGACCAAGAAGGTGGATGCGGAGGAAACAATGACCTAACTAGGTGTAGTGGAGGTATCAATTCCCTAAACGAAGCAAAGAGACAACATAGTGTGGGTGCATATAGAAGAATGTATGCCCTAATTTCCAAGATGGTATCTATGTGTGCATATTAGAGTAAATGGATGTTTTGAGCATCCTAATTTCTATGTAATACCCCATGTAATTTCCATGTATTGCACATCTAATTTTTTAAATTTGAAATTATCAATATAACCAGTAAAACCCTACACTAACCGGTCATATGAGTGTTTTTGAACAACCTAAACAAGTTTAATTTTCATATGTGTAATATAATTGACAAAATGTGTACATAGGTAAAGTATATTACCCTTATAAGTTATTAACCTTATTAAGAAAGTTAAGATGTTACATTTTCCTAATGCTTAACTAAAAAATAGTTCAAAATTTTGATAGTAGGTAAACATTATTGAAATTGTTCTCTTTGGTTCTGACTAGTTCTAAGATTTAAATAACTATTTGTTTTGTATTGGTTCCAACATTCCAATAATTGTTAATTTTGGGTTTAGGACTAGTTTTCTAGAATTAGGTTACATACCGGATGGTGCACAATTCATTATTAACAAAAGAAATTCATATTAATATGGTAAAATGTTAATAATTATATTGAACCAAATTGATTTGATTCCATATGTTATAAGGGATATATATATATATATATATATATATATATATATATATATATATATATATAGATATATATATAGATTATACCATGATAATACACAATAATAATAATAAGTATAATATATAACAATGTTGAACTAAAGAATGAACTGCTACATTAACAAACGAAACAAACAGACTCCTCACAATTGTGATGTTATTTCTTGAATAACGAACCAAGTACGAATCTATTAGAGAACAAACTACTTATTTCTAAAATCAAGTAAAGTCATATATCTTCTATAGATGATCACATTGAATAAAATTCATGCCCATAAGATCATATTCATCTAAGTTGTTTTTGGCATTATCTTGAAAAGTCATACCCCTAGTTCGTCATTACTCAATTATTCTTTAACTACAAAGGCTGTGTTAATCACTAATGCTTCTTGTAGTCCTTTAACGTCATTAAGATTTTTTTTTGAACTATTTATTTTTTCATTTAAAGCATGGTCTTCTTCTACTTAGCCCTCCTTGTAGTTTAGAGTAACAATGATTAGGTGAGGTACAACACTAACAAACAACAAAACCAACACTCAATATCAACATGTGAATGACATACTCACATGTTGCTGAATGTAAACACAAATGAATTGAGATCATAAACAACAAGAATCACATTGCAATGATAATATAATTCACCGATTATTGGAATCTCCAACCCCTTGAATAGTTAAGAACGATCTTAATTTCTTAATGCATGATGTGACCATGCCTTGGAAAAAAAAAGAAAAAAATTATAATCACAAATGTATAGTTGAATAGGGAATATACAAATTTAAAATAAGATCTAATTCATATTGGGAATTGTATTTATTACATGCCATGACTTAGCTAGATGTAACCATTATACCTCTCAAAATGTTTCTCGTGAATGTTTAGTCGTGTTGTTTTATGTCGAAAAGTATTCTCACCGATGCGTGATGACATATTCGTAATTAAGAGGATGATATTTTGCTTAACTCCATAACAAAGTAGTATTATGACGACACACTACTACCTTTTTAGGTCATTCTAGTGAATTTTGTATTTTCCGATGATAATGAGAAAATTACAAATTTAGCCTAATACACTAATTACTTTGTGGAAAATAGCCAAAAAAAACCCAAATTGCATTTTTAGCCACTAAAATCGCAGATGAGTATAAGCCATTTGCGATTTCGTCATGCCATCCGCGAACGTACAAGTGGCTAAAGCACAGACGTGCTTTAGCCACTTGTATGTTCGCAGCTGGTTATTATTATTATTTTTTATTTTTATTTTTCGCTATATATATACCCCTTTTACAACCTAAAATCGCAGATGGACTATGCGATTTCCTCTCGTTTCACCTGCGATTTTATGATTTTTTTTTGTTTTTTTTTTTTTTTTTTGTATTTTGACTATGAAAGATAGGGTTTGACTACGAAATAACTTTATTTATGGTTCTGTTTTAAGATCTTACCATATTTTCGGGATTGTTGAAGAAATCGTCCATTATAACTCTAAGGAAATCGTAGGGAGAGAGTGTTTCTCTAAAAAAGATAGTGAAAATGAAGGGAAAAAAAACGTTTTATACTAAAACTCTACGAAATCACAGATGGAAAACACCAAATCACAGATGGACTGTTTCATCTGCGAACGTACAAGTGCCTAAAGTACAAATGTGCTTTAGGCACTTGTACGTTCGCAGATGGAAATGCGAAATCGCAGATGGACTTAATCCATCTGCGATTTTAAGTGCTAATTTTGTAATTTGGATTTTTTTTGGCTATTTTCCACAAAGTAATTAGTGTATTTGGTTAAATTTGTAATTTTCTCAATATTTAACATGTGACCGGGAATCGTAATTATGAACTTTTTATAATAAAAAAAGAGATCTTCATACAACAAAAAGTAGAAGGACCAAAATTGTAAATAACATAAACCCCCTAGGCAAAGGTGAAGTTTAGCCGAAAAGGTTACTTCGAAGGAACAAGGGTTTCCACGAAGCGAATAAGCCGACAATATTCTACGTCAAAATATTAGCGTAAGAACTCTTCAATTCCCCCCTACAAACAAATGAACAGTTATTTCCCTAATTGCAAACAGGTTTGATCATGTCGCAGTCGCACTCGTAGCTAACGACGGAAGTTCTGTAAATTCGAAAAGGTAAATCGCGAGCTTGAAGAACACAATCATTGTGTATTGCGGCTGACTTTTTGGAAAGATGACGGCAAGAATTGCATTGAGATTCATGAAAGAATGTTTGAAACAGAAGCTCAAATCAACGGCGGCTCCCAGACATTATTATTCATCTTCATCTTCATCTTCCACTGCTCCTGTTAAACCAAATATTCCTCATTCTTCACGAAAGGTGACTTTTCCTTCCTTTTAGAACACAAACAACGTGTATGCATCACCTCCATTCAAAACTGAAAATAATACATTTGACTTTGAGTGTGTTCTTCACCTCAAAATTAGTACGAACAATTTCTTGTGCAACAAGAAATTAACAAAATTACACAGTATATTGACTATATTCAAATTTGAATTTGGAATGTATCGGGCTTGAATATAAACAATCAACAGTGGTTTAATAGCAAAAATATTCATAAATTGAAATTTATTTGAATTTTCATGTGTATTGGTTTATGAATTTGTAATTAATTTTACATTTTAGGGAAGATTACTTACAGGAGCTACCATTGGCATGGTTATAGCTGGGGGCGCTTACGCTAGCACTGTTGATGAAGCAACATTCGGGTATTTAAATCCCTTACTCTGTTTCCATTGATTTACTGATAAATGATGTTAAAAGCACATTGCTATTTTCTTCATTTAACCCTAATTGATGTACAATTCAATTCATATGCAGTGGGTGGCTATTTTCAGCAACAAAAGTTGTAAATCCATTCTTTGCATTGCTGGATCCAGAGGTTGCTCATCGCCTAGCTGTCTCTGCTGCAGCTCGTGGGTGGGTCCCACGAGAAAAGAGGCCAGATCAGCAAATTTTAGGGCTTGAAGTTTGGGGAAGAAGGTTTTCTAATCCAATAGGACTTGCTGCAGGATTTGATAAAAATGCAGAAGCTGTTGAAGGTTTACTTGGATTAGGGTTTGGATTTGTGGAAGTTGGATCAGTTACTCCTATTCCACAAGAGGGTAATCCAAAGCCTCGTATGTTTAGATTGAGAAATGAAGGGTGAGAAACAAATTTTTTCTATTATCAAGGGCAAGTTTGTAATTTGTAAAAAGTTAGGACTTAGGACTCGTTTTCTTGGCTTTCTACATTGAGTTGTTCTTTCTGTATTAAGTCAAACAGAAACACACATATAAGCTTACCTGATTAGGGTGCTTCTTCTTGACTTAATGCATGAAAGTGAGGGAAATAAGGCTTTCACTTTAAGTCCTGACTTTTTACGAATTTGCCCTTGTTTATTTTTTCGTTTCATTTCCCAAATTGTTGTCATCTTCTCAAATATTTCTTAAACATTAGTTATCGAGACAACAACGCCTAATGGATGTTTCCTTTTGACTTGATACAAAAGGATCTTAATGTGTAATTAGAAAGGAGGGAGGGTTTATGTGCTTAAACAGAAGGGTAAAATGGTCATTTCTTGTTTAGATGGTTCGTTCAGTCCAAAAAGAATCAGTCTTTGTTCATACAAAACTCATTCTAGACTGAATGAACCATCTGAACGAGTAAATGACCATTTTACCCTTCTCGAGTAAAAAAACGACCGCTTCTTTGAGAATTGTAACAAATAGAAATTGTAAAACAAAACAGAGATTGCCCTCATGAGAATTTTCAAACTTGTTTCTGATTTGTACAAAATGACCATTTTACCCTTTTTGAGTAAAAAACGACCATTTCTTTGAGAATTGTAACAATTAGAAACTGTAAAACAAAACAGAGATCTCCCTCATGAGAATTATTCAAACTTATTTCTGATTTGTACAAAATGACCATTTTACCCTTCTTGAGCCAACGTGTTTTGACTTTATGGACAGGGCCATAATCAACAGATGTGGATTTAATAGTGAAGGAATAGTTGCTGTTGCAAAAAGGTTAGGAGCTCAACATGGTAAGAGAAAACTAGATGAAACATCAAGCACTTCAGCTTCTTCAAATGATGAAGTCAAAACTGGAGGGAAAGCGGGTCCCGGAATTCTCGGGGTTAATATTGGAAAAAATAAAAGTAGTGAAGATGCTGCTGCAGATTATGTACAAGGTGTACATACGTTGTCTCAGTATGCTGATTATTTGGTATCTTCCCTATTCTATTTTCATCTTTTATTTGTTGATTTGTTCTTCACATTCATATTTTCACTTATGATATTACTTTCTATAATCCTACTTGAAAAATGTGATATTGGTGGAGTTTCTAAGATTAGCTTTGTTAATGCAAATATATAAAAGTTGTAGATTTAGTCAAGATGAAGAAGAGGAAGTGAGGGCAAAATAGTCATTTAGCATAAATCTCATACTTCCTATAATCCTACTTGAAAAATGTGATTTTGGTGGAGTTTCTAAGATTAGATATGCTAATGCAAATATATAGAAGTTGTGGATTTAGTCAAGATGAAGAAGAGAAAATGAGGGCAAAATAGTCATTTAGCATAAACTTAATTGTTAATGGCTACTCTTTTGAGTTAAAGATCCAGGGACAAATGGTGCAATGAAACTATGTTTTGGGGACCATTTATGCAAAAAAATGAAACATCTGGACTGAATCCATAACTTTTGTGAGAGCATAGTGATGAAATTGGTAATTTAGTCTTTTATTCATTTAACCATTTAATTATTTTATGTAGTGATTAAACATTTAAACCATTATATGTTTTTTTTTTTTTGAAAAAACACTATTTTTTAAATTTAACCATTGAACTATTAATTTTATCAATTTAGTCACTAAATTATTATATAATGATTATAAAAATTAATAGTTTAGTGGCTAAATCGATAAAGTTATGAAAATACATTGTGTTTTTCCATATTTTACCCTTTTTCAAAATCGGGTATCTGGGAAATTTTTTTATTTTTTATTTTAATTTTTTTTGGAAGGTCAAAAAAGGTATAATGGTTTAATCACTATAGAGAATAGTTAAATGGCCAATAAAATGGTGAAAGTTCAAGTTGGATCTTGATTAAATGATTATTTTGAGAATTTACTCTTATAATTCTTTTTTGATTTATTGCATATTATATTTAATCATGTTACAGGTAATCAATATTTCTTCCCCAAATACCCCTGGACTCCGACAACTTCAAGGAAGAAAACAGTTAAAGGACCTTATCAAGAAGGTACAAAATTCTGCTTCTAATTTCTAATTTAATTTATTTTTTGTTAATTGAGAGATAAAGGGTATAATCGTCACATGTTTGTTATTATTAAAGATTCAAGCAGCCCGCGATGAAATGCAGTGGGCTGAAGAGGGCCCACCTCCATTATTGGTAAAAATTGCTCCTGATTTATCAAAACAAGACCTTGAAGATATTGCACAGGTATGTATATATTTTGCATCACAATATTTGAGAAAATGAAAAAAAAAAAATTGAGGACAACTTTGTAAAAAGTTAGGACTTAATGGGGAAAGACTTTTCTTAAATTTGTGTATTAATATAAAGTTGTATTCAGACACTATCCCTTTACCTTTTTGCCCCCTTTCATCTCAATTCCTCTCACGTTAAAGTTGATGAATATTGTGAAATTAGTATTTTGGAATGTGAGGGTAAAATGGTCATTTAGTCTAATTTCATATGGTTTTTATTTAGCTATTAAAGAAACAGACACTATCCCTTTACCTTTTTGCCCCTCTTCTTTTTTCTTTCCAATTCCTCTCGTGTTAAAATTGATGAATATTGTGAAATTAGTTTTTTGGAATGCAAGGGTAAAATGGTCATTTAGTCTAATTCATACGGGTTTTATTCAGTCTATAAAAGAATCTAGAAAAGATTTACCTTTTTGCCCCGCTTGTTTATCCTCACAATTCCTCTCATGTTAAAATTAATGAATATTATGAAATTAGTTTTTTGGAATGCAAGGGTAAAATGGTCATTTAGTCTAACTCATACGGGTTTTATTCAGTCTATAAAAGAATCTAGAAAACTTTACCTTTTTGCCCCTCTTCTATTTTCCTCCCAATTCCTCTCATTGTTAAAGTTGATGAATATTGTGAAATTAGTTTTTTGGAATGCAAGGGTAAAATGGTCATTTAGTCTAATTCATACGGGTTTTATTCAGTCTACAAAAGAATCTAGAAAAGATTACCTTTTTGCCCCTCTTGTTTATCCTTACAATTCCTCTCATGTTAAAATTGATAAGTATTGTGAAATTAGTTTTTTGGAATGCAAGGGTAAAATGGTCATTTAGTCTAATTCATACGGGTTTTATTCAGTCTATAAAAGAGTCTAGAAAAGATTTACCTTTTTTCACCTCGTCTTTTTCCTCCCAATTCCTCTCACAATAAAGCTGATGAATATTGTGAAATTAGTTTTTCAGAATGTAAGGGTAAAACGGTCATTTAGTCCGTTTTACACAAATTCTTATGGTTCTTATTTTTTTTTGTTTGATAATGTAGGTTGCTCTTGCTCTCCGGTTGGATGGTTTGGTATGTTTTTTTATTCAATTGAAGAAATATGTTTTTTTTAAGGATTCAAACAACATTCATGGATTTTAATTATTTAATTATTTATTTTTTCTTTGTAGATTATATCAAATACAACTGTTTCAAGGCCAGAAATAGTGGAGAACAATTCTGTATCAAAGGAAAGTGGTGGATTAAGTGGGAAGCCTCTTTTTATCTTGTCAACTGACATTCTAAAGGAGATGTATTTATTAACAAAGGTTCATTTCAAATTCACTTACTACTAAAATATTATCCCTTTTTCTTTTTCTTTTTCTTTTTCCTTTTCTTAAAACTCATTTGAGAATATATTTCTTCTTCTTCTTCTATTTTTTTAGGGAAGGATTCCTTTGATTGGCTGTGGAGGTGTGAGCAGGTTCGTGTCTGATTTTCATATATATATATATATATATATATATATATATATATATATATATTTCATTAATTATAATTCTAAATTTTATTAAATAAATCACTTTACCATATTTTTTTAGTGGAGAAGATGCTTACAAGAAAATAAGAGCAGGAGCTACTCTTGTTCAGCTTTATACAGCTTTTGCTTATGGTGGGCCCGCTCTTATACCCCAGATAAAGGTATATAGATTTTGTCACTAAAAGGGTAAAATGGTCATTTACTCATATTCAGTCCAAAGAAGAAACAATAATTCGTGTTTTTGAAATAGTAGAGGACTTTTAGCAACAGATAGAATGTAAGAAGAATGTATTAAGACTATAGATATGAGCTCTTGTATACCCTTTTTGCTATAGAAATTGCACAAAAGGGTAAAATTGTCATTTACTCATATTCAGTCCAAAGAAGAAACAATAAATAGTGTTTTTGAAATAGTAAAGGACTTTAAGCAACGGATAGAACGTAAGAAGAATGTATTAAGACTATAGATATGAACTCTTGTATGCCCTTTTTGCTATAGATTTTGCACAAAAGGGTAAAATGGTCATTTACTCATATTCAGTTATACTATATAAAGACTATTTTTTATTTGTTTTGTAGGCTGAACTTGCAGAGTGTTTAGAAAAAGACGGGTTTAAATCAGTTTATGATGCGGTTGGAGCAGATTGCAGATAATTATTTGGAATTTTCACAATCTTTTTTGATGATTTTTGTAAAGATAAGTGAGTGAGAGGATGGATTTTCATAAATCATACTTACAACTTCCTTATGAAGTTGTAATTTTGCAAGACTTTGAAGTATTTAAATTTCCCCTTTTTTTTTTGTTAGTTGAAGAAAGTTTACAATTTTGATGATTCACTAATTCCTAGAATTCATTGCTAATAACATTATATTACTTTACATAAATGGGGAAGAATTATGTATTGGGTTTAAAGCATTTTATTCAAGAGTCTTTAGTTTTAGAAATAGTTGTATAGTTTTGCTTCAAAAAGATTATGGATTTTGTTGTCAAAGTCTAAGATTTTGACTTGACTTAATATGTTTCAGTCTGCTTTTGGTTAAAGATTTTATAGTTTTTATGTTTATATGTATTGGACCAATGTTTTAAAAACCTTTATATATGTTCTAAAAAAAGCTATTTGTTCCAAAACGTGTGAGAATGTTTATCTACCTATTGGTTTGATAATAACTGAGGTGGAAGTGCGTTTTAGATTAAATTTTTATGTGAGTTGTGAGTTATGACTAGAGGTACAAATTCGTTCTTAGATTTTTGGACTAAATGGTAGATGTGTAAGAAATATATCCCTAACTTAATTTTGTTATTAAGTAAATAAATAAATCTACAAGTTGATTAGAATGACTATATATATTAGTTTGTATGTAATCATGTATTATTTCAATATCTACTCTAATAAATAAATAAAGATCTTTTTGACACATGTCACATTCTCATTCATTTTGCCACATGTAATTTTGTGGTATTTTTAAATTAATTTTTATTCCACATATCATTTTATAGTTTTTCAATTTTATTAAATTCCACATAATATTAAATATAATAATGAATACATATCAATTTCATTAATGAACTTTCATTCTAATTTTAAAATTACAAAATTAAAGTTTTATTAATTTCTTTTATTTATTTATCCAAATCATTTCTTTAAATTTAAAAGAGAAAAAAAAAACACTTTAATTTTTATAATTCAATTTTTTTTTCATTTTTCTTATAAATTCAAACTTCTAAAATGTTTAGAATTTTATATTATAAATAAACCCATGTAAACATGAGTCTCACACTTAGTTCATAATATATTGTGTACTAATAGGGTAAATGAACGGCAACACATGCCAACGCCTCATTGGATGCCTTTTATAGAATTTCATGCATCAACCAATAGCCTCTCATTACAGTAAATGATTGTAAATACAAATAATTCATGAAAAACATCATGTTTATCGAAATAAATGTGTATATATTACAACTTAAAATGAATGTGTATATGTTACAATTGTTTTTCTTATGAGAACGTGTTGGTTTAATAACAATTTCTTCAAATATCTAGGAATGAATAGCTATATCATGCATTGTGACATTTCGTGTAAAACTTAGTCTGACACATTTCCACGTGAATTGTTATCGAATGAAAAAATATGTATTTTTACGAACCTTTAGGAATTATGTTATCTCTTTTACCTATAAGACTTTGTTTAGGACTACTCACTCGTTAAGACCGAGTTTACTTGATTGGCAAGTCTTAGTTTGATAACAACTCAATCAAAAAAAAAACTTGCTTTTATAAATTGTACCGTTTATACCACAATTATATGTGCAAACTGGAATATAGTTATATGACAATTACACACCGATATATTTCCTTTCATGATTAGGAAAATCTTGAAATTGGATCATGTTGCATTTGAAATCATAGAAACGACACCATTAAATAGGCCAAAGACAAAACACTATATTAAAGTTCAAATTTTGTTGCCAAGTTTAAAATTTGAACTAACTTTTTCAGAAAGTCAACACTCATAATAGAGATGGAGAATTCAACATTTGTTGTTATTCCAAATCATAAACTCAACCTTTGATCAAATAAATATTAAGAAGATTAAAATGGAAACTCTTTTAGTTCTTCATTTTCATAAATCAACCAAAAACATCTTTATAGATTTAAGTATTTTCAACTAGTTATGAACACAACAAAACGATTTAAACAAAAATATTAAGAAATATTTGAGAATCAATGCAAAACAATAACTATAAAACACTAAATCGCTTCACATAAACGAGGTAGAAAAGATGATAAAAAAATTTAGACTACGTGAATAATGAATGAGATGTTCATCAACTCTTCACTTATATATTCATATTGCATTCAAGTTTATATATTTAGAATATCTACATATGTGGTCCTTATACGCTCATGATTCAAGAACTTAAGTCCTCACACTTTATAACTCTTCTATCTACACTTTTTTTTTGTTGCTACATTTCACTTTATAACCTTGCACATAAACTATCAGTAAGTTTCTACAAAATCTAAACACCAATAATTCCAAAGATAAGATTGTAAGATTATTAATTCATAATTTTGCAATACCCTCCCTCAATCTTATCTTTGGAACGGATCATGCAACATTAAGTTTTCACATGGATTATTATGTAGTTTTCCATTTAATGGTTTTGTAAAAATATTGCCACTTGTTCTTGTCTTTTATTATCCTTGCAAAAGCCTTTTAAATCACAAAAATAACAAAATGAATATCAATCTCAATGTGTTTAGTTCGTTTATGAAAAACATGATTTAACAATAATGGAATGGTAAAACTGTTATCACACAAAAGTTTAAGAAATTCACATTTTACATTTAAATCTATTAAAGGTTTTGCAACCTAAAAAAATTCACAAAAATCAAAAGCTAAAGAACTTACTCATATTTAGTAGATGATTTTGAAACAATGTGTTATATTTTTTAGTTGGGATAATCATTTGAGAGGGTAACATACTATTGCTTTTGGTCACTAAACTTTTTTTCGTGATCTAATAACCCTTTAACTTGTTGATTCATGAAGATTTTCCCTTTATGACGGATTTTAGCTGGTTTCAGTGGTTGAATCGATCCTAGGTGTCTTTTTTATCCTACGTGGCCAATTAGGTGGCATGTAGGCCCCGATTTTGTTTCCCATCCTCATTAAAGTTAAGACCGAAGTCTCATTTGGTCCTTAAATTCGATTAGGGCACGAAGTTTCATTAACCTCCTTCAATCTTCAATTAGTCTCTATAATGGCTTCATCACAATGTCCCACTGATCGGAACTTCATTGTAGTGGATTTCCACTACAATGGAACGTTTGCACCCAACCCATTAGTATACTTTGATCATGACAGAACATCAATGCAAGATGTTGACTTCAGTGCATTTGAGTACAAGTAGTTCATGGAATTTCTTTAGAAGCTCACTAGAACGACAATCAAAGATATCTACTTCTGCCTTCCACAAGAGTCTTTAAGTCAGGGAATTCATACACTGGTGAATGACGGTGATTACAAAGAATTTTTGGATTTGGCTTATGAAAATGAGAGGAGAATGAATTTCACACCCCCAAACCAGGATGGCAGAAACGTCCGGGGGTGGGATGACTTCATGTACAGTATCATAACAACGAGTATAATAGTGACCAAAGCAAACACAACCATCATAAATATAATTGAAAAAGTTACACCATAGTACGAGTTACATGTTTCAAAATCAATTACATTATGATGAAAAAAATGATTTTTTTGACGCCTTAGCGTCCCATCCTCAAAAGCTGTTAGTTACCTGGTTTAGTGATTACCTGAGAATACAAGTAGTTTTGAAAGAGTGTCAATTAAGTTGGTGAGTTCATAAGCTTTTGTACGTAGGGTTGAAATCATTTCTTTGTAAAAGTAGTGTTTGTTCAAGAAAAATCCAATATTTTCCTTGTGAAATGAGTTGTAGTCTTAAAACCCAAAGACCGAAATGTACAAGTATTTTCCATACTTATGATAGTATATGCAGTTTTAAATTTACATAAAACCGTTTGAATGAAAGAATCCCCGTAAACTTTATGTATCGTTATTTCCCTATGTGAGTTATTATAACCGTGCTAATGACTTAGATGACCTGTTACGACGTTCTTCAGGCATCGAAATGTTATGACATTTGTCACCCCAGACCTGCTGGTCTAGCTGTTGCATGCAACTTAGGTGCGGGATTGTCAATCCTAATATAGATCTATACACAAGTATCACGCTCTCCCTACAAGTGACTCTGGTTATAATACAGGACTTGGTAGGTACACTAATGTATACTTGAAGACTTAGCTCACAAAATGATTTAATGAGTTTACGTGTAGTGTGAACGAAAACCTTTTTGTAGTGAGTTTGTAGTGCAAATGAACCATAAACTATACCTATTATAGTTTATCGTAAATGTTTGTAGTGATGAAAACCCTTGTGTGTATGATGTTTACCTTCTCATGAAAGTAAAATAACATGAAATATAATCAACATGTAATTTATATTATAACACACTTTTCTCAACATGTTACAAAGTGTGAATGAAATTGTTAACCATTTTTCTAGTTTTAACTTTTCTGTTTCCGTTCTTAGAAAAATTAAAGAAAAATCATCGGAAGTCGAAATCTGAATCCGTAAACTCTAAGAATTTATTAAATGAGTCTACTTTGTTCCTAATTTTTATTATGATTTTTAGTGGTCTCTAACTAGTGTGAAAATGTTCATCTTCACAGACTGGTCCGAAATCATTTATGAAATGATAAGCAGTTTTGTAAAAATCGCCATAAATTGTAGAAAAATCGTATGAACGTATGAGAGTAGTCCTTAGAAAGGCATAAACCTGAACTACTTGCATCTTGTACAGTTTAGAAAAATAATAAGTTTAAGATGTTCAAAATAGTCTGTGAATGGAACTCAACTTTTCTGTTGAAAGCTAATGTTTAACTTTAGATTATGTTTTTGGTGTTATAACTTGTATCCCCCCTAAAACGTGAAGAAAACATGAAAATGTAGGGGTATGAACTCACCTTATGTGGTGTCTTGTGGTGGAAGGTTGAGAATGAAGAGTTTCAAGTCAAGAACACTTGAAAGATGCTTGAAGACTTGAAGATCCTATGAAGAAATATGTGATATTTGTGTAAATGATTTATGATTTGTATGAAGGTGTGAAGATTGTGTAGAAGTTTGAAGAAGATACTTAACAACAATGGAGGAAAATTAAGAATACTCTTGAAGGAAATCGTGTTCTTGAGTGAGAGAGCAAAGAGAAAGTTTGCTTTTTGGTGAGAGAAAGTGAAATCTTGGACGAGAAGAAA